CTCCGCGTTGGCTTAATTTTCCAGACCCTGAAGCTCCGTCCAAACTGTGATGTACTTGAGTTGAGCTGGCTGATCCACATCACCATCAGGTTTGTTTGTCTGATCTCTTTTTATGTTCTTGGAGTCTCGTCAGGCTACTTTCCAAGTTTTTTTCTTTGCTTTTTCTTAAATGCCTCTAATGACAACTTTAACTCCCTCTCAAACCACCAACGGGAAGACTTCACCATTATTATTATTATTAGTCTCAATATATTGTTTTATTGTTCTTTTTTATTTTTGAATTCAGTGTTATTTTAAAAGGGAGTTGTTTAGTCTCTAAATCAGTGCACTTATTTCTACTGGTCAGTGTTTGCTTCATTGAATATTATCGCATGATCTAATACATCTAACCTAACTATAAAGCATAGTTTTATTTTTTCTAAATCGGATTTATACATTAAAAAAGAATCTAGTCTTCAATATTTATCAGGAGCTTTTGAGGGGATTTTCGCCAGAGGGCGGTTCTTTATAGGGAAGATCTTCTTGACCACAAGCTGAAAAGTTGAATTGCAATGAAAGTTGCAATTGAAAGAGAAGACAGCCTTAACATACCCACACCACATCCGAACACTGATTACATTCACCCCCTACAGTAGGAGCCCTGTATCTGTCAACATGATACCAAGATAAAAGAGAAAAACTAAAGCGAAGTAAAGAAAGAGGACTGTTGACACATTGGTCTTGAGTTATTCACTTTACTGGTGGTATGAATTGAATCTGTACCCCCATGGCTCACAGCAGCTTTTATTTATTTTTTGTTTTTCTTTTCTTTTCTTACAGATATGTTATTTTTTATTCTTTGTTATTTATATATTCTGCTTCAAATCGTCACTTGATTATTTGTTGCCTTGTTGTTGACTCTTTTCTGTTTGAATGTGAACTGTAACGCTTTCATTTCCCTCCTGGATCAATAAATAAATAAATAAATATAACACGGCAAACACCCCACGACCTGTGCAAATATTGAGCTCAAAGTTCAATATTTTCATCTTGTAGGAAATCACGAACGGGGAGAATTTGGCATCTTCAAGTAATTTGCGTCGCCCAGCGCAAATGTGCGTTCTCTTATTGTCTCTGTTAGCAGCACTAGATGGGTTTTTATAACTGATTGTTCTAAATTCTTCCATCACTATCAGGGCTGTGGGACGAGAGTTCAGACTGAGCCCAGCACTGTGACATGGAGTGTCTATCTCCAATAGACACTGAAGACACACATGTACATAGAAATGCAATAATAGCTTTTACAAGTGGTGTTTAATAATACAATTATTAATTAGCCACTTAACAAGCCATTTTAAAGACACATAACTTCAGACCTGATCGCTTTTTATTACTTTTCTTTTTATAAAACATTTTGGTTTATTGTGAAAACAGGTCTCTGTGCCTGTGTGCCTTCATTAATTATTCAAATAATATTTAAAGTTCCAAGTATTTCCTGCGTTGCAGTTCTCCAGGTGGCATTATTGGTCCTTTCCTCATTGTTCTGGAGATACTCTGCCACCTGTGTTCAGCCTGCATGCTGACTTTAGTTTCTCCATATGCCTGTATCAGATCTCCTAACATCTTCTCGTAGCGTTCCTGATAATCAGTGAGCTGAGGTTTTTATAATGGAGGTGTCTTGCTTCTTCCAACTTATCCTTCCTCTCTGGGGAAGGTTCCTAATGTCACTCTGGCTGCTCTTCACTTTTTCCTTGAGCTCACTCTCTCTCTCTCATTTTGAATGTTCACCTCCGCCTGGAGAGCCTGGACTGTTGTTTTCAGACTCTGTATGGTCTGGTTTTACTGTATACAGTCCTTTGACCAATCCTCTCTGTCTTATGTCAGAGTGGGACAGCTTTATCATGTTAAATATCATTTATTTACTTAATTTAATCTGATTTCAATTAATCTTGCTCAGCTTAGTCATTGCATGCCTTGATTTTCTATTTGAGTTTCTCAGTTTTATATATTTTACATTTGTTTTTATCGTTACTGATTTGTTTTGCGTGTATTAATTAGTATATGTGGTTGTTGTGTGGTTTCTATAATCTTATAGACATGAACTTTCATGTCTATACGATTACTCATACACAATTTCAAAAGTCATCATTTCTGTTGACTTTAGTTTTAAGTAACTAACCAACTGCTCACTAATTTCTCTCAACCTGCAGGTGTCTTTCAGGTGTCCCCTTTATATGCAGTTCACATAACTTTTTGACCTCTTAATGGTATGATAAACAACAACAAACAAGCGTGTGTAATGTTTCTGCCTTGAATCAAAGCTTAACAGTGCAGAATGACAAAGGTTTCCCTCAAGAAAATGCTTGAGGTGTTTATTGCTCTTTACCAACATGCCCTCTGATTTTAATAACAAGTCCCTGTCATGTTTCTGCTACTGATTTGTTCAGTGACGCCTACAAATGTATAGTCACAATTGTTAAAATGTTTTGTGTATTAGCCAGTGAAGAAGGTAAAATGTTAATGAATTGTTACAAGATATTGGAGAAGTAATTTTGAAAGTGCAATTTCCCAGTTGTGCCACAAGAGGGAGTGTCCTTGGTGAGCGCTAGTAGGGCTATGTGAGGCGTCTCCTCAAACAGAACATCCTGCTGAGCGATCACAAGTAACGTCTCCTATCTTTGCTTTTACTGTACCTGCTTATGGGTAACTCATGATTGAGGCCTGTAACATCAGCAATAGTTTCACATTAACTTTTAAAGTAAAGGCTTCATAAAGTAATTACTACAAACATTAAACTAACAGTCCACACATTTTTGATTCAGATATTTTTCAGCTGACATAAGATGTTTCTGAGCTTGTTTATTGAAAAACTGACATCCAGTGCTTGTAAAAAGTGGACAGCAAGTATTTTGGGACTGAGCCACTTTAAAGGGCTAGTCAAGGTCTGATGTGAAGTTTATTACTTAAAACTAAAAAGAAAGGATCATGTTGCTGCTCATTTAATTCCTGATTTTTTTTTTCTTTTTAAATTACTTTAAAATGTTGTACTTCTTACTGCCCTGCCTTCTGGATAGCCCTTAATTCTAAAACAATCTGATGCTACAAACTAGTTAGGAAATCCACATCAGTTGAGCCTTATTGTTTTGTTACAAATAACATTATAATATTATGTTGAAAAGTGAAAAGTGGTCAGTAAGTATTTTGGGACTGAGCCACTTTAAAGGGCTAGTCAAAGTCTGATGTCAGGTTTATTTATTAAAACTGAAAAGAGGATCTTACTGCTGACCATTTTATTACTCATTTTTTCCTTGTTTTTTATTTTTTTCTTAAAATACTTATTACTCCCTTTTAATCTTTTTTGTGAATGTCCCCAGTGTGGGATCAATAAAGTCTATCTTATCTTTTGGACAGCCCTTTATGTTAATACTATTTAAATTTTTGATTCTTAGGACATCCACTGAAGGTGAGCCTTTTTTGTCACAGAAACACAATAACAAATCATGTTTCAATAAAGCTGAGCCTTTATATCTATTTTTTACAAAACAAAACATCCAGTTTTAAGAGACTGGTTTCTTCACTATAGCCTTTGTAATAGCCCCTCTACAGTCTGAAAGACATCCTGCGGCTTAAGGCCCGGACACACCAACCCGATAATCGGCCGTCGGATGTCGTCGGACAGTCAGGCAAGGTCGGTGACTCGAGTGTGCCGTCGTCAGTCGGCGTCGGCGTTCATTTTGGCCGATTCGACATGTAGAATCGACCAGTGGCCATCGGCCTCAATGACCAATCTGATTGGTGGAGTGCTAGCCCTTGACTAGCGAATCAGTGAGTGCATAAGAAAACCGGAAGTGACGATGGTAAACATACTACGCCAACGCCAGTATCTTGTTATTATTAACCATCGTATTTTCCGTTCAGCGAGTAATGACAATAACGATCCTTCTTGACTACTATCAACACTCTCTGATGAAAACAATGACTGACGACAGCGTGCTCTGTGTTTACTAGGTCTAGAGTGATCCGTCATTTCCGCTTTTCATTTTTTTTCCGGCGACAACACAGATTAGCGCCACCTGCTGTTATGGGGACGTATTACGCCTCGCGCACGCGCAGAACGTACGCTCCAGTCGGCGTCGGTTTGGTGCGTTCAGAGGCAGTTTTTTGACCGACTCGGGGAGACGGGAGCCGACTGATCAGTCCGACTGCTTTTCTGCCAACAATCGGCCGTCGGGTTGGTGTGTCCTGGCCTTAAAGCCATTCACACCCTGAAGGTGTGTTAAAAACGACATGTGTGAATGGGTCATTGAAATCCCTGCTCCAGCCTGCAGAGCCAAGGCGGAATATGGATTAAACACTCACACACCTTTAGTCCTGTTGGCAAAAATTGTAAAAAGTTCACCAGAGCGCAATTCACATGAATTTAGGTTGATTTAAAGTATGTCCAAGAGGGGACCCAAGAAAAGTCCCCTGTCGGTCTCTCAGTCCCCTGTTACTAGGTGTATAACGACAGTGTCATTTTCCAATTTTCAAAACAAAAGCCCCCAATTATCACTGTATGCTAACAGGGTTACAGGAGCCTGTTAGGGGGAAGAGCCCAACAAACAACGCAAGAACGTCCGTCATGGGTAACTCTGCTTGACACGCAGTGTGCCAGCTCCTCAAGGGAGGGACAAAGCAGCTCGCCAATGGGTGCCTCTTATTTACTAATCACCCCCCACACCACTGAACTACAGGTCCCACCAGACCAACTGCCCCACAATGTCAGCTCCACCCAGCTAGGGATGAAACTATTTTTTCTCTCAAAATAAAAGCCCAATAGAGTTCTAGTATCATAGTTTCACTTTCCAGGTCACAGTGCTTTATGTACAGTATGTCTTTATTCACGGCCCAGTTATCACAGGAACTGGAAAGAAATTGGACCCGACTTCAAGATTCAAATTGTACTTTCCAAATGAGTGACTTCTCCCTGTAATTTCCATAAACTATATTTTAAGAAGTTCATGCATCATTTGCATAACAACAGTAAGAATCATTTCTTCATTTTAACTTGGGAGGGGGTTTACAGGAACTTGTCTGTTCATGCATATTAATAATGTAAAGAGGAAGGAAGCCAGGGTGGCTTTAAACAGTCTGAAGTCTGTATCAACCATAGAAGAAACAAATTGTCTACAGAGACCACATCCTCCTTTTGTGATTAACTGACGGATACAGTGTTTCTCATGTACTGTTTGTGATCAACCTGCTAATTTAACAGAGACGTGACGAGCAGCTATGAGTTTAACTGCAGCAGCGAGTGGATTCGTTGTCTTCCTTCTCTCTGTACAAGGTACTGTACATCTACAGTGGTTATAAGGCAGTTAGCAAACTTCAGAAATTCAGAGTAGGATGTAGTAGTAGTTTTTTTGAAAATAAAAATATTTTAAACTTGATTTTCTGCATTGTGGTGTGATCACTGCAGCACCAGACACTCTCTTGTCTTTCTTTAAATTGAAAACAACAGAGAGCACATAACCATTATAAACGGAGGTATTGTGCACCATTGAAGAGAGTGAAGTTGTGTTTTTGTGTATGGAAGTAGTGACTGTAGATACATTAAGAAAGAATCCTCTCAATAATTTGTTGAATTAAATTCATCGCTCTATGGAACCTCCTACATTGTTCTGACTCTGAGTGACTTAAGAGTGAATTTATAGGCTGGTAACCAAACACAGGTAATACAGAGTGAAAATAAAAAGAGTCAGTAACACGTCTTTTATATGACAAGGGTTTGCTTCCTGCTGCAGTAGCAAAGTTCACAAATTACTATTTAACAATGATGCCAATGACTGTATAATGTGAAAAGGTGTTGCTTGTATTAAAGAAGACACAGTGAGAGATTCACCTGACTCTACCGTGTCCCTCAGTGCTGTTATTGCATCTTTCAGCTAATTTTTTTGGTCTTCTCGTTGACAACTTTACTGTATTAGTACCCTCTCAGTGCTCTCTTCAACCCCTTCCCAGCAGCAGCAGGCAGCAGATTTCAGTGGAAACGCTCTATAAGCCCACTGTACACTAACTGTCCAACACCAAACAACATACAACGTTAGCAACTAGCTGGTCAACATTGTGCATAATCTACAGAGCCACGACTCCCAATCAATGCTAATGTTGTGTCTGTGGGAAGCAACACTGTATAAACTCCCTGTTGTGTTTACAGCTAAATGTGCTGTCCCAGACTGGCCAAAAAGGAGCAGTGTGTGGGATTTAGTGGCATCTAGCAGTGAAGTTTCAGTATTGCTGCCTGGAACTGAACCAGTTGTATCCGTCAGTTGGTACGTTTGTTTTTGGAGAAGCAGCTAACTGAGATTGGGGAAAGTGTAAATTCCAGATGTTCTTGAATATGTCACAGATGCTGCAAATTCAGATTTCTTGGTTTGAGAAGAGCAAATAAAAAATTTGGAAATTGAGGTCAAAATTGTGATTATGATTCATCTTATCATCAAGTCAATGCTTGAAATTATCTGGTACAATTTACCTCAACTCACTATTCCTCCGACAAAGTTCATTTGAAGGGCCTTTTTTTAAGTTCAGTACTTGCAGCTGCTATTCTCTAGAATAAGTCTGTTTGAAGAGAAATGCTGAACACTGAGGTGTGGGAAACTATTGTGATATGTAGATAACACAGTTTCCATCCACACTCTGCAGCAGCCTGACCACAGACAGTTAAGCAACCAAGCAAAACAGACTTTTTTTTATGTATCACACCCTTCCGATATCTTTATCCCGTTCAGTATGTAGTGTGTTAAAGTACACAGTTTCAGTACATTGCTGTTCCTTCACTGCACCCTGATGTCCTGCTTCACTGCTCTTAAAGATTAACTGCAGAGATAATGTGTATATCTTTCACTTCCTTTGCATTATGTTACTGTAAATCACCATGTTGGTAAATAAAAACGGCAATAGTTCAAATAAAATAATAAAGCCCAAATAAGTCGAACAAGTATTAAAATGAAATAAAATTCAGTTTATAGCAAAGCAGCAGTGGTCTCTGCTCTGTAAGGACAGAAAGACACATGTTAATATTAGTCACAGTAACTCACATTTGCACAAAGAGTCCCATAAGTTACTGACAAAGGGTGCCTTGGCTGTTCACAACACTCCTATGATCTCTGGTGTAACGTTCACGTGTTTCACAAGCCGTCTCAGCAACCACACAGACACAGCACCGCACTCACAGGACAAAGGTAAACTTAACCTGCTGGTTACAATTATACATTCTCATGTCAAACTGAATGATTTCTAGATTTCTTCATACCTTTGGCATAAACAAAAATAACAACAAAAACGTATGTACAGCATCTACAGTATACATTGTTAAAACAGATGTAAGATAGTAGAAGAAAGCTCAGTTAAGATAACAGAGACTGCAGTAAAACTTTTTTTTTTGCCCACACTCTCCTACCTTCACACAAGTTGGTACTGGACTGTAAGATGATCTTTGTCTCTGTAAATAAAATAAAAACATTGAAAAATATTTATAAAAAAAAAAAAACCTCCCTTTCTTTTTTCAAAAAAAAAAAAAAAATCACCAGTGGGATGTCACAATAGCCAAAGTGGGGAAATGTAGCTTCACACACTGAAGCACCTCCACTACAAATGAAAGTCTGTCTCCTGTTGTTTAGAGTCTGATTGTAGTTTCTGATGTGCTCTGTGTTACAGTGGTACAGGGTTGGAATGAATGGAGAGTGACTTACACCTCTACTAAGATCTGTGTCATAAAGGGATCAACAGTGGACATACGCTGCACCTACAGATACCCATCCTGGGAAAATGGCCGTTATACCAACGTTAAGGAAAGATTCTGGTTTACTAAAATGAATGGAAATGATTTTGTGGATCTGAGAACAGACCCAGAGTATTCAGGTCGTGTGCAGTATATCAGTGATAACAACAACTGCCATCTAAGAATCACAGACCTGAGAAAGAGCGACTCAGCTGAGTACAAGTTCAGATTCATAACAAACCAACCAGGTGGGGAATATTCTGGTTCACCTGGAGTCACTTTGTCTGTCACAGGTAACATTTTCAGCCATTTGTTAATTATTTCCAAATGTTTAACATCTAGAGAACAATAATATAAATGTGTTGTGTGTATTTGTATTTGTGTATGTTTACAGTTTTGTATAAAATAACATTCCTGTTCCTTCTTCACAATTCAGATCTCCGGGTGCAGTTCATCAAATGGAGAGAGCTGAAGTGTCATAGCATTTGTGATCCACCTTATTCTTCCTACGTCTGGTACAAAAATGGTCAGAAAATTCAGAGTGTAACATATAAATCACTTTTTTCAGACAACTTTGGTTATGCAGACAGTTATTCCTGTGCTGTTAAAGAACATGAGGATTTCCCCTCTCCTCCAGTGTGTGAGTTTACTACACAGTCCTACATTAACATAACACCATCTGCTGGAGCCTTATAACTACATGTATTTTAACAATGAGTCCTCCATTGTGACTCTTCATTATCAACTTTGGTTTAAAAATTATTTTATCTTTCAGGTGTCCATGGTCAAACCTGCAACAGAGTGACTTACACTGACAGAAGCATCTGTGCTTCCAAAGGCTCATCAGTGGACATTTCTTCAACCTACAACAGTTATACATTTAACGTTGAATCTAAATTCTGGTTCAGTCCTGAACGTAGTCATCAGTGGCAGAGTCCCTCACAGCCTGAGGACCTCAGTAAATACTCCCAGTATGCAGGTCGTGTTCAGGTCGTTGAACGGTTGAGAGGACGCTCCACTCTGAGAATCACTGACCTGAGAGAGAGCGATTCAGCCCAGTATCGCTTCAAATTCACAGCTGGAAGCTTTGAATGGAACAGTATTTTACCTGGTACAACTCTGACTGTCACAGGTACTGATGAACACAAACTGATGGAAATACACCAACACAGTATATTTAACAACACTGAACATGTTGATAATGATCATCATCATGAGTTTCTGTAATTACTGTTGTGTAGTTACTAATGCTCGCTGATACTTGTAGGAATAGTAACTGTTGTGTTGATGTGTATGTACATCTATCAGCCATTTCTTTTAGAACCAGTGATAATAATATTGATTCTTGTTCTTATATCCAGCTCTGCAGGTTCAGGTGACCAGAATAAAAGTCCATCAGTCTTATACTGAGGCAGAGCTGAAGTGTCACAGCAGCTGCAGTCCAGTTGGTCGTCTTTCCTACGTCTGGTTCAACAATGGAAAGGAAATCACATGGCCAAGGACATCTTCTTATAAAGCCTGGTTTTCTCACACAGACATCATCTCTTGTGCCTTGAAGGGACATCAAAATCACCCCTCTCCCTCAGTGTGTGAGTTTACTCCTCTGTGTCAGGAAAATCTTTATACACTTTTTATTTTAAAAACAAAATTCTGCGAGACAAATGAAACTAGGCATACTTCTGTGATAACAATTTTTTAATGTTTAAGTAACTCATGTTCATATCTTTTGCAGCTGCTCCGAGGTTTGCCTCTGTGTCAGTGAGTCCCTCTGGTGAGATAGTGGAGGGCAGTTCAGTGACTCTGACCTGTAGCAGTGATGCTAACCCAGCAGCTAATTATACCTGGTACAAGAGAAATGGAAATCAATACCTTCAACCTCCCAGTAAAGAACAGCTTGTCTTCAGGTCCATCCAGTCCTCTGACTCTGGAGAGTATTACTGTACAGCTGAGAACGAGCTGGGGAGGAGAACATCTCAATACATCTCTATTAATGTGAAATGTGAGTGAAACACTTTATTTGAATCTGTCCGGTTTTTGCAGGAGAACATTTTACAGATCATGTGTATTTCTTCAGCTTTACTTGCTTCACATTCACAGTCTGCTGTTATTCACTGAGCAGCTCTGGGAGATTTTAGGAGTTATAAAGGTTTATTATTATTTATTAGATTTTGGCCCCAGATTCAAACCGTCACAAATCCTTTTATCAGACAGCCTTCAAAGCCTTAAATGCTGCTAAACACAACTATTCACGGTGTATAATTTAAATACCATACAAGCAACACACATTTAACCTCCAGTAATCTCTGTTAACACATCTCCTCCAGATGCTCCAAAGACCTCCTCTGTGTCAGTGAGTCTTTCTGGTAAAATCATGGAGGGCAGTTCAGTGACTCTGACCTGTAGCAGTGATGCTAACCCAGCAGCTAATTATACCTGATACAAAGAGAACCAAAAAGTGCTTAAGGGACCAACTGCAGGCACCTATCATTTGACCTCCATCAGCTCTGAGGACAGAGGGAACTACTACTGCAAGTCTGAGAATCAATATGGCCAGATCAACTCTATGGCTGTATTTATAGATGTCCAATGTAAGCGCAAAACATGAAAAAATGAATACTTATTATATTATTTTCCAGCCTCTCTTTCACAGAGCGACAATAACTAACATTTTGTCACTCCCCTCGTCGTCTCCATACAAACACACACTGCAGGGTTTCATCTAACACACTCTACTGTAACCTATCCACATCAGCTGACATAGTGTAAAGAGCTATAGTCCATGTAACAGGGTGGATGGTGTTCATCCAGGAGACAGGGGTTCAGGTACCGTGTAAAAGTAAAAGTCAGTGTTGACTTAAAGACCTAAAGTTTTATGTTAAATAATGTTACGCTCATGACTTGCCTCACGTACATTCTTATTTTCCTAAACCCAACCAAACTGCAACCATTTCACAACATTAACCATGTTTTCAATAGGCATTTCATACACACTCTGAATGTGTACAGGACCCTAAGGGACGTGACAAAACGACGTCTGGTTGACGACCTGGGATGAGAACGTGGTTTGAAATGTGTGTGTCTAAAATCTCATTAGTCGTGTGTACAGAAAACCACAGGAAGTCAATCAGGGGCCATTAAGAGGACACATGTACGGGTTAATTGTTGGATACTGTAGCCTGCTACCTAGCTTTGTGGTGGCAATGGCCTGTCTCACCAATCAGAATTTGTTGATAACCAACCACTGGGGAACCTGAATAATTTATCAAAATAATTATACTGCTTATATCTTTTTTGTCTCTCACCAGATGCTCCAAAGACTCCTTCTATCTCAGTGAGTCCCTCTGGTGAGATAGTGGAGGGCAGTCCAGTGACTCTGAACTGCAGCAGTGATGCTAACCCAGCAGCTACTTATACCTGGTACAAGGAGAACCAAACAGTGATTCAGGGACCAAAAGGCATTTCTCATTTCCCCTCTATCAGATTAGAGGACAGAGGGATCTACTACTGCAAGTCTGAGAATCAATATGGACAGATCAACTCTACAGCTGTTAACATAGATGTCGAGTGTAAGTAAAAACCATCAGTAAATCACTTTGACACTGTCTATTTATGAGTGATCTGTTGAGCTTAGTTTTTATGACTTGTTATCTATTCATCCATCTGTGCATTTTGTTGTAGAATGATAAATAAATTAACCTTGTATCTTAGGCTGGTAGAAATTATGTCATGTTGTGAAGTAGCATCACATGCATTTAAAAAAACCCCAAACATTTCAAGACTATCTTAGATATTGTAACAATTAGGTGGATCTACATGGAATAGGCCTATAATATTTACTATACCCACATGGCATTTCTAGGTATATTTTCTAGTTTTCGTTGGCTGTAATCATTCCTACTGTTCATGCTGGCTACCTTTGTGGAGCAACTACACTGTAAGAAACGGATGTCAAAGGTCAGTGTGCAGTTGAGGTCAGAGTATTAGTTTTACATTTAGTTTAAATTCACGTTTTGTGTTTGTCCAGACAGAGATTCTTTACTCTTTGCTAAAGGAGTAGGGATTGCAGTAAACAATAACTCTTCAAATGTCCATATAGCAAGTATTGGATTAAGATATACTTATGGTAGGGTTGTTGAATGATGATGTGTCATTTTGCATGCTTTTTGTGATGTTTAAATATTTTCATTGTTTCAAAGCCTACAGCTGTGAAGAGTTAGGAGTAAATTACCATGTAAATTCCTCTTCATGTCCATTCTGATATAGTAAAACATGGCAACACTGTTTAACTAAATGCCATTGATGCAAGCTAGTCATTACATGGTTGCTACCATGCCATGTTAAAAAACCTGCAACAAAGCCTAATGATATTCAGTGAAAGATTAAATAATACAAAACAAATAAATTAAATCGCCTGTTTATGTGCTATCAATGTTTTTCTTTGGTGCACCTCACAGTAAGGGGAACTCAAAACAACAAGCTAGGTTTTTCTTCTGCCTAAAAACAATTGTATATCTATACATGTTTTCCAGATGGTCCAAAGCTTCCCTCTATGTCAGTGAGTCCCTCTGGTGAGATAGTGGAGGGCAGTTCAGTGAATCTGACCTGTAGCAGTGATGCTAACCCAGCAGCTAATTATACCTGGTACAAGGAGGATGAAGACTCACCAAAAGCATCAGGACAGATCTTCATCATCACTGACTTCAGACCTGAACACAGTGGGAATTATTACTGTGAAGCCCAGAACAGAAGAGGACGCCATAACTCCACTGTACATGAAATTGTTATGTCACGTAAGTCATGCTTATTAACCTAGACACTCATGTTTCTTTATGTCCTTGCTCTTGAACATGACTCCAAAATGATCCAACTTCCTCAATTGGTGCAGCAAATTGCTCTCAACTCAAAGAAAGCAATCCACTGTTTTACAGTATGATGGCTTGAGTCTTGAACATACTGAAGTCAACTGCTTCACAGCTGGCCATCTTAGTGCACCCTGGAAGTCAGAAACTGATGAAGTGTATCTGTAAAAAGTGGACGAGAGATACAATCTTGAGGTCACCATCGAGAACACTGTCCATCCCTGTGCTGGGCCTAGAGATTGTGTCTGTGATAATCACAATCTGAATAATTGAGAAGGCACAATCCTGGAAGACATCCGAGAGAGCATATGGAACCGGGTCTCATTCCCGTCATACAAGAACCAAATGGCATTTGGTAACAGCCCTGGTATCCCATATTACCAACCAAAGCACAACCCAAGGCACACAGTCTGTGGACAAGTAGAATGGATTGGCAAACTCCTAATATCATTTAAAGATGATTTAAAGCACAATTTGCATTGTATTGCTTCTCCTGAATGGTTTGTGGCTGGAAATATCTAAGCCAGCACCCTGGCAAAGGCTCTCTGTGATACCCCAATAATTCGAGCACAGATACACTCCCCAACTTCTATACTACACTGCAGTGACCTGTCAGCCAACACAGCCCAGCAATATTTAGTATAGTCTTAACCCCAGCACCTTGCCACTGTGGAGCTTCTACTCTTCTACTCGAGTGACGGGTAAGGCTTCCCATGAATGTTTCAGCTCTGCTTTTTCTGCATATGGTGTTTTGGTTGGTGTTCCTCAGAGTTTTCACCCTGCCCGACTGCATGCCCAATCAAGATGAACAGCCTAGAAAAGGGACTGTCTTTCCTGAGTTGTCTGATGGTTTGCCATAATTTTTTTGAGTCCTTCTCCATGGCCTCCCCAAACTCCTTCCTCAATGAAAAGTCATGAATTTAAATTCCGACCGATTCAGATTTCATTTTTCCAACTTTTACCTGGATGCAGAAAACATTCCTCAGGGAATGGGAGTTGAAAACCTTGCCAAGATGTAACCAGTGGACCCTCACTACACGTTTGGTTTAACAAGGTCTGTCCGGCATCTTTTCTCATCAGGTGATCACCACTTGGTTGGAATCATTTGACAGATATATGGTCAATGATTTGATAACTTGACAAATAATTTACCTTTAGACTAAAGTTCACAAAATCATCTGTTGTACAAGCATTAGGGACCACCAAAGTATTGGCACAAAGTCTGTTACACTGCCTTAAACACCTTGTTTTTGTGCTGTTTTGGGGATGTTCAAGAAAAACTACAAGCAAACTACAGTTTCATTCATTCATCATTAGAATTCTTCTGTTCTATGCTTTAACGTCCAATTATCAGTTTCTAATGGACCCAAACAACCTGCAGTTCCATAATTAATTGTGAGTGTTTCTGTTTGATTGCTTTTTCCCAGGTTCAATGAAATCAGTAGCTGCTGGGTCAATCACTGCAATTTTTCTGGCTATCATACTCCTCTGTGCCTTCCTACTTATTCGGTGAGCGCTTCACTTTCACTGGAATTATACTCAGTCGTGCATCTTAAATTCAGCTGTTTAATAACTTAATTTGGTGATTCATTTGCTTGTTCTTTTATTCTCCTATCTAGAAGAAAGAGGTCATTAAAACAAAGCACAGAGCCGAGAAAGAGACCAGACAACAGAGCACAGGTGAGGACAAAGAGTTCAGGTATTAGTCCACTCTCACCTGAAAACTCCCGCCTTGCCCTCAACCTTGAAGATGTTTTACTAAATGGTCATGTTACAAGCCAATAAAAATCATACATACCCACTTACCTATGTAGCAAAGTACTTGAACACTAACTGTGATGTTTACCCTTCAGTTAAACATGAATCCAGTGTACGACAACTGCTCAGCAGTAGCACAGACAAAACCAGCGGAGGAGGACGACGACATTTCCTATGCCAGCGTAAGCTTCTCTGACAACAAGGAAGATCCTCTCTACTCCAACATTCGGCCAGCCCAGGCCAACAGGCAGAAGCATGAAGAAGAAGAGGAGGACGAGGACAGTGTGGAGTACACTACTGTCAACTTTAATAACTCCAGTGCATCCCCACAGTGAGTTTATTAACATTTGTCTTTGCTACACAAAGTTTGAAATGGTCAATGTTTTAATTTCAACATGTCCTTAGTTAATATTGCGTTTCTTTATGAGTAATTCTACATTGTGTACTTTTTGTTATTCACAGATTAAAACATCGAGAGGCTGTGGAGGATTTATCTTCACTGTACAGTGCAATCACCAAAAACCCAAGACCATAAACACAACATGAATCAGTGGTCTGTTACTTTACAGTATTTAAGCAGGTGTCCACACTATCAACAGGTTATCACAAAAGTTTTCTTTTTCTTTTTTTATAAAGACTGCTCGGGGATTACTGTATATAATGCACACATAATGCATGTAAGCTACCAAACTCACACAGGAGGACAACTGCTGTGCAGACAAACTGATACAATTTTGGCTACATTCACCGTTAACAGTCAAAATGTCTACTTTAGGCCTAAATAACATATATAACATATATATACACTCTCATATTACTGATGTAACTGGTAACATGTATAAAACAGGTTATAATCTTGTATATAGATTTTTTGAGTTCTTGTTCCATGTTGACTATAAAGCATTGACAACACTGAGAACTGCTCCTGTCTCTCATTCCACACTGGCGGAATATGTTATTTTATTTTAGGCATTCTTTAAGTTTAATTCTGTTTCTATTTCTCAAATATTCTCAATATTCCTATTAGTAAGTTTGTGTTTTGTTTAAGTACCCATCTCACAACTTGAGACCAGTGTGTACAATTTAGTGGCATCCCTTTTCAAACACAAGGCAACTTCATAACAGTTATTATTATCAGGTATACACAAATGAAAACATACCTATTAATATTATATTCCATTTCGGCCAATAGATCCTCCTAAATGTTACACACTGGACCTTTAAATTGATTTTCTTGTTTACTGTGGTTTTGTGTTTTTTAAGCTTGTGAAATTTTGCACAGTGACTTGATTGTAATGATTTATGTTTAAATAACCTGATATTTTATTGAATAAAGATTTGTTAAGTTCAGTTCAGTATTCAGAAAAAAATCCTTTCTCCAGGCTTTTTTTTTTTGAATCTCAAAAAACTGTATGTAAAGTGATAGCATAGATTCTATCAGCCAGGGACGGACATTTACTCTTCCTGACCACACCTCAGCCGACCCATTCCTGTCAGGGTATGGCAGATTAGTTGTGAAGAAACTAGTCTTGTAATACCAGACGATTGGAGATCTCCCCACCTACCTCTCTAATTGTTTCCACCTAGTTTTAGCAAAAAAAAAAGTGCATCCAGACTGACTGCTGAGAAGAAACAGGTATGAAGGCTCAGAGAATGACAGGCTGCCACCCAGAAGCACAACTGTAAAGCAGGAGGGAGGGGTTAGATCTGATATGGATTAAGATTATGCATTTACGTGTACTTATCACTTTAATGTTGCATCTGTAAAAATCCTTCACATCCTTCAATCATCATTTTTATTTTTTCTATTAGCTACCTCCATTGTTCTATAATATTAATCTCAGCAAATCTCAATACATACATATTTTCTCAGGAGATCAGCCGAGCTGCCATCTGCAGTTGTTAAAGTCTCTGTTGGTCTGAGTGGCTGATTATTATCTGCCCAGAAAGTCAACTGTGACATCAGGTACCTAAAAGCAAATGTATTTCATTGTTTTGATGCAAAGATGTCCTTTCAGTTTTGTCATGGATGGGGTGCTGTGAGACGCACATGACACACAGCTGTTCATGCATATAAATAATGTAAAGAGGAAGGAAGTCAGGCCAGCGTTTATCAGCCATCTTATACAGCTGTGGTAAGACACATCTCTCTGGACCACATCCTTAAAAAGCACTGTGTCTACCATCTAAGATATTTTAACAGACATATGAGCGGGACAGCTATGAGTTTAACTGCAGCAGAAAGTGGGTTTGTTGTCCTCCTTCTCTCGGTGTCAGGTACTGTACATCTACATTTACATTTTAAGGTAGCATGATTTTTTTAGTTGAAGGACTTTTAGTGATTTCCGGTAATTGTTGCCGTAGTCATTGCTTCTTAAAAAATGTGGTGACTAATGTTCAAACCACTGGACTGGCTGCCATGCCAAGGGTGTAAAGCTGAAAAATTAAGGATGAATATTTTTAGGCAGTAATGTATGGTATGGGTACATGAATCATCGTGAATTCATGCATGTGTGTTTCACATTCTGTTGAATTCCAAGTGTCGTAATCATGATTAACTGAGCATGACTTCTTGATTATTTCATCATGTTTATGGCACTTCAAATAAAGTCAGTCCTTATTATTAAATATAACTGTTTATTGTTATAGTGATAGTTATTAAGTGTTATATAAAGTATTTTCTTTTTCTAATAAAATAATTGATAATTGAATTTGAGTCCAGTATGAACGTATATACTGTACTACTACTACTGTAGCCACTACTTCCATCGTCATATATGATGACGATGGAAGATCCATTACCATAAAGTGTTACCAATAATGCTTAAAAACAGTGGAGTGCTCCTTTTAGAAAGAAAATATCGATATAGAAGAAACAGAAAATCCAGCCAATGCCATCAAATCACTTCAGCCACTCTCTGAATAGCTGTGGTTATTTCTAATTTTCTTTAGATCTACTTGCTTGTATCAACATTTCATTAACATTTTACATTAAACCTTGTAAGCCCAGTTCATGTGAAGATGTGTCCACCTCAGTGTGCCAGTTCTGTTACATTAAAGAATTCATATTACGACCGAAAAGAGTTTTACATCCGTGTTCTGCAGTCTTCTGTAGTTTCACACTCCTGAACACAGACAGGAAACAAACCAAGCAGACTATTTTAACACACTGCACCCCTGTAGAATTGTAGAATTTAAAATAAAGTGTGTATGTAACTTCATCTATTGACTCCAGTAAATTTATTTTTTTAAGCTGATCCAGGTTACCTTTAGTTTACAATTTAAATCTGTGGCTCCTGATGTGCTCTCTGTTACAGTGGTACAGGGTCTGAATGACTGGGGAGTGACTTACACCTCTACTGGGATCTGTGCCTTAAAAGGATCAACAGTGGACATAAGCTGCACCTACAGATACCCATCCAGAATGACAGATCGTGATACTACAGTTGAGGAAACATTCTGGTTCATTCATTCGCAGGGTGAGGAACCTGTGGATCTGAGGACACGCTCAGAGTACTCAGGTCGTGTGCAGTATATCTGTGGTAACAACAACTGCACTCTGAGAATCATAGACCTGAGAGAGAGTGACTCAGCTGAGTACAAGTTCAGATTCATAACAAACCAACCAGGTGGAGAATATACTGGTTTACCTGGAGTCACTTTGTCTGTCACAGGTAATATTTTTGTTGGAAACTCTACCTTGAACCTTGGTGTGTCTTTGCACATGTGTATGCTAACAGTACATTCTGAAATTATATTATTGTTTCTTACTAATCCAGGCTTCCAGGTGCTGATAAACCGCTCAGAGCCTTGCAAAACTACAACCTGTACATGGTCAGACCTTAGATGTCACAGCAGTTGTCGCCTACCTGATCAAACTTCCTACATCTGGTACAAGAATGAACATAAAATTACCGACAAAACATCTTCAGACTACTATTTCTACTTTTATCCTGATGACAGTTTTTCCTGTGCTGTAGAAGGATATGAGAATTTCCCCTCTCCTCCAGTGTGTGAGTTTACTTACAGTCTTCCACTAACATAACTCTGTTTTGATGTTGTATGTTTTTAGTTAATGCTCTGTACCATCACTTCACCTATCTTTTACATGGGTGACCCAATCCACAGTAATACAACCAGTTGTGAATTACTGCAGTAAAGGCTATAGTTTTCAAGATGAAGATGATGATCAAAAATACAAATTTTTTTAGGTGGCCATGGTCAATCCTGCAACAGAGTAACTTACACTGACAGAAGCATATGTGCCTTCAAAAGCTCTTCAATAAACATTTCAATAAACAGTTACAAAGACGCTGGTGGATCAAAATTCTGGTTCAATCCTAAACGTAGTAGTCATTGGAAGTATTACTATCAGCCTGAGGACCTCAGTGAAGACTCCCAGTATGCAGGTCGTGTTCGGGTCTTTAAAACAGAGAGAGGACGCTCCACTCTGAGAATCACTGACCTGAGAGAGAGCGATTCAGCCCAGTATCACTTCAAATTCACAGCAGGACCCTTTGAATGGAGGAGAAGTTTACCTGGTACAACTCTGACTGTCACAGGTACTGATGAACACAAACTGATTATGTAGGTAATGTAGCAGAATGTAATTCAATGTTGAAATATATATATATATATTATATTTTATATACAGTCATCATGAGATTTGTGCTTTCTTATTGAAAATGAGGATTTTGATATACAGTATCCATGTTAGGGTAAAAGTAATTTTTTAAATCAAGAGAAAGAATTAAATTAAAGTAAATGCAGTTGTTTTATATTTTATGTGACATTCCTGCTCCTTGTTCACAGACCCAGATTTACAGGTGCAGGTGATCCGGTCTTCTACTGGTCCAAAGCTGATTTGTCACAGCAGCTGTCTGACTGATCGTGCATCCTTTGTTTGGTACAAGAATGAAAAGAAAATGCGGGAAGAAACATCCCCTTCTTATAAAGGATACGTTGGTCCTGCCGACAGATATTCCTGTTCTTATGAGAGTTTCCGCTCTTTACCAGTGTGTGAGTTTACTCCCCTATGCCACGAACAAAATGCCATGTGGTGGAAACAGCTGTAATCACTATTTTTACAGGAGCAATGGATCATGTGACTTCTTGTATATGATATGATATGTATTAGCTGCTGAAGAGACACATATTTCCATCAGAGCTAGCTAAATGGAAAGTGAATATCTGACTAACATTCCTAAAGTGGACAAAAAAACAACTCTAAACGAATGCTGACACAGCTTTGTGTCTGCAGGATGTGTAAATAGGCAACAGTGTGCAAGCGTGTTTACCATATGAACTTTATATGGTCTGTACAGATTGTTTCTGCTGCTGCCAAGTGGCAAAAAAATGAAGAAGCAAAAGAAAACCAAACAAGCGTTTTCAGTCAAAATCAGAGAAAAAGCTCAACATATTATATCACCCCAGTCTAACTAAACATCACAACAAAACATCTATTATCAACTTAACCTCTAGAAAGACTTTGTAGATGTTAGTAGTTTCCTGTTAACCTCACACGTAATAGGATCCCCACAACAAAGGGTTGGATGAAGTATAACATAAACCAGATTGTATGGTAATCAAATAATAACCATTCCTTTCAAAACAGCTCTGCAAAACTATTTGACATGACTTCCAACAAATGGCAGAACAGTTCAGCAGCCATTAAAGTTTATTAAGGGAGCTCATGAAAGCCTGGTTACCATGTTTCCCACGGCTGTTTACAATGTATAAACACAATTGCGCCAGTTATTTGTGACTGAAAGTTCGGCACGGTAAAAATTAAAGGCACAGTACCCTGTGGAGTGGTAAAGAGCAATGTTTTCTTTTAATCTTGCATATGTAAGGGGATGCAAATGCACACAGACACATTGTGCTATTGGTCATGCTCAAAGAAGCATAACAATGTGTCAACAAAGACACAAAAGAAGAAGTGGTTTTTTTTTTGATTGTCTGTGAGTAAAACACTGAATAAAACACGTACTGTATTAATGTATGTTCATATTATCTCCTCCAGATGCTCCGGTGGTCCCCTCAGTGTTGATGAGTCACCCTGGTGACATTTTCAAGAATAATTCAGTGACTCTGACCTGTAGCAGTGATGCTAACCCAGCAGTTAAATATACCTGGTACAAGAGGAACCAAACACTGCTCACTAAAGAACCACAGCTTGTCTTCAGGTCCATCCAGTCCTCTGACTCTGGAGAGTATTACTGTACAGCTGAGAACGAGCTGGGGAGGAGAACGTCTATATATGTCTTTGTTGATGTGAAGTGTGAGTAAAAACAAAAGCTTATTTAAAAGCATCAAATAGTTTAAATCTGTTGTTGCATCTGGGCCAGGTTACCCAGATTATGCCTGCTTTCTTCACATTCACAGTCTCTGGCAGTAGTTCACTGAGCTGGCAGTTTTAGTCACTAATGGCATTTATATGTACTGCGCTGTTCATTGGATTCCAACGTTCATATTCATCACAGGACATCCTCCAATGTTTCAGATGACGCAAAACACCGCAATTCATAAAAAAAAAAAAAAAAATTCAATGTTAATACATTTTTTACAGATGGCCCAAAGACCTCCTCTGTGTCAGTGAGTCCCTCTGGTGAGATAGTGGAGGGCAGTTCAGTGAGTCTGACCTGTAGCAGTGATGCTAACCCAGCAGCTACTTATACCTGGTACAAGGAGAGCAAAATACTTCATCGAGGACCAGAAGACATTTATTATTTCACCTCGATCAGCCCTGAGGACAGTGGGGAATATCACTGCAAGTCTGAAAATGAGTACAACCAGATCAACTCTTCATCGGTCTCTATAGATGTTCAGTGTAAGTATAGAAAACATTTGCAATTCATTTAGAAACTGGTCTTATTGGGGTGCCCTGGTAGCTCACCTGCTAGAGCCGGCACCCCATGTACCCAGGCTGAGTCCTTGCTGCATCAGCCATGGTTTCATTTGTGTGACATTCCCCCTCTCTCTCCAGCTTCTCTATTAATTACAGACAACATTTTTTATAATAATAATAATAATAATAATAATAATATATATAATATAAAGAAACTGCTCTGATACATGCTAACAGTATATCTGACCTTCCAAGATGGTGCTACGCCTTTGCCAAAAGTCAGGTCTACAAACAAATATTATTAGTTTATACTTATTTTTCACCAGATCCTCCGAGGGTTCCCTCTGTGTCAGTGAGTCCCTCTGGTGAGATAGTGGAGGGCAGTTCAGTGAATCTGACCTGTAGCAGTGATGCTAACCCAGCAGCTAATTATACCTGGTACAAGGAGGATGAAGACTCACCAAAAGCATCAGGACAGATCTTCACCATCACTGACTTCAGACCTGAACACAGTGGGAATTATTACTGTGAAGCCCAGAACAGAAGAGGACGCCATAACTCCACCTTACATCTGATTGTTGTTGCAGGTAAGTTATCATCAAGAGGTCATAAGATTTCGTGAATGGGCACAAAAATCTGACAGAAGTTTTTGTACACCTCTTTACTACAGATTTTATTTTGATCTGACCACTTACAGGTAGTGGCAGAAGTCCCTCACACTTGACCTTAACCAAAGTAAAACTGTCTCCAAAGCAGAAACACTGTTTTAATAAAACACACGCGTAACGTTTTCTGGTCTCATACGGGTGGGTGACAACTACCTCAATAAATGAGGTACACCAGCAAAGGCAGGTTTTTTCATGCAAGGCACAAGGGGATAACTGAATGATTTACTGAGTATGAAAATTTGGATGAGATACTATGGGAGATTTCGTATTAAACCCTAAATACTCAAAGTATTTCCCAATTATCCAGGTGCATGGAAATCTGCAGCTTTAGGCACAATCACTGCTGTTTTCCTGGTTATCACACTCCTCGCTGTCTTCCTTTGGATTAGGTGAGCATGTGTGTGTCAATGTGACTATGTTGAGTAATGCATCTAAAATGTTGTCATCTGTTCCCTGAACGTATGAGTTAATTCATTCAATTGCTCGTCCTCCTATCCAGACGAAATATGTCCTGCACCCAGCTGTCTCAGGGTGGAGAGAGACCCGACAACAGAGCACAGGTGTAGTATTCAAGTGCAAAGAAAACAGTGATATGGGTACATATGATGGTTGTGATTTGGTCATTATGAATAACTTAAAGGTGCAGATAACCGGAAACTAAGAATTGATAATGATAGATTTTCATCTATGGGGCGAGTGGGCAGTCACGCAGTCCGTCATGTTGAACCATGTTTCTACAGTAGCCCAGAATGTATAAACCAAACACTGACTCTAGACGAGGCCTTTTAACAAAGTCAGCTTGTTAAACTGATGCAGGACATGCAGGACTTCATGTAAACCAGGGCTCTAAAACTGCTGGCCCGGGGGGTCATCCCTCTCCCTCTGGTGCCCAAAACAATATCAAAAATATTATATATTATATTTATCTTATTTTATTTATTTTTAGTTTTACTTATATGTATATAGCTATAAATACATTTTCTATTTATTAGTTATAAGTTGAAGAGATCTGGTTTTAGGTTGTATTTGTTGTTGAGAGATGGTATAAAATGAAAGAAAGAAAATTAAATTAAATTAAAAGAAACAACTGTTTGCAATTTTTTTTTGTTAACTTTGATGTTACTGATGGAAATATTTTTAGAAATATTGTACTTTCTTGTAGTAACACTGAAGTGGCCCCAAGCTAATTTGAGTTTGTGGCCCTTGAGCTAAACACATGTATGGGAACACTTGAATTATACAGACCTCTGCTGGTGAAAGTAGGGATTGCATTTACACTTCAAACTTCAGGATCATAGCTGGGCTTATCAGTGTAGGATTAGTTTCACAACAAAGAACATCAAGAGCTGTGGCACTGAAGAGCAACCTCCCCTGATTCCACCCCAAACCCAAGCATGGTGAGCTACAGGGCAGCAGAAATTATGTAATGGGTTCTGTTTGTCCCGTCAGCCAAACATGAGTCCAGCTGCAGCACAGAGACAGTCAGAAGAACAGCAGGATGACCTGCACTACGCCAGCATCTGCTTCCCTCAGAACCAGGAAGATGCTCTCTACTCCAACATCAGATACGCTCAGCCCCACAGACGAACAGAGGATGAGGAGGGTGGGGTTATCTACAGTGCTATCAAAACTGACAATGCCAGCAGTGCCCCGGGGTGAGCAGCTCCTCTCATATGCAATACAAAATATACACATTGGGTTTAGAAACTGTCAGTGTTAATGTTTTACTTTGCCCTTCACAGAAGAAGACGCCAAGAAGATGTGGAGGATTCATGTGCACTGTACAGCACAGTCAACAAAAACACTGTGAGCACAACATGAATCTGTGGTTTGTTTGAACGTGGATTTGTCCGTGCACTTTCTTCAAGCAGGTAGAATTATTGTGCATTCCTCAGGACATGGCATTAAGGCAACCCACAAAAATAAAAACGTGGGTTATGTGAATACTTGTTTGTTAAGTTTGATGTTACTGATGAAAATATTTTTAGAAATATTGCGCTTTCTTGTAGTAACACTGAAGTGACCCTCCTATGAGATGAGAACACCAGCAGTGGCCCCAAACCAATTTGAGTTTGAGACCCGTGATCTAAACACATATATGGAACCACTTCAATTATACAGACCTCTGCTGGTGAAAGTAGGGATTGCACTTACACTTTAAACTTCAGGATCATAGATCATAGTTTTGGACATGGCATTAAGGCAACTGACTAAAATAAAAACACATGTTGGTTGTGTGAATATTTGTTTGTTTCATTATTGTCTTTTAAAGGGTTGATTGACCCAAATTACAAAAAAACGTAGCAGATAGTTTTGGTTTTATTTGTCCACGTCTGCATTGCCAAATACCATTAGGGTTTTTCCTTTGTTTTGGGGATTTGAGTGAACTGAGCCTTTAGGAAAAGTTTTCTCTTTCTGCTGTGACATCCAACCTGTCTGCTGTGCAACCAGCCTATTAGCATCAGTGCAGGTCAACATGAATGAAAGATGCTTTCTTTTCAAATGCAACGTAGCAAATGTCTGCTATTCTGTGGCCACTGAAGATTACTGTTGCTACTTAAGTTGCTTAAAGTTAAGCTTACTAATAATTGAAATGATTACAGCTTCAAAACAAATGAAGACTGAAATACAGCTTCTGGTTTTGCCAGTGGTAAGAGGCCATCATATAAACAAGATAAAATATATTTTTTAAATACTGAGCTTACTCTCTTTATTGAAAAAAAAAAACACAAATTAACATATTTATTAAATGATGCCTCAAATAATGTATTGATGTACTCCACTTTACTTGAATAGCTTATGGGTATTTAATGCTACTGCTACCCCACTACAATTCAGTATCTTTTAACCCATTTACAACATTTATTGACATAGCTAGATCAAAGTGCTCAAAATATAAATATGTAAATATATAAATATAATAGGATGCATTGTTCCTGATAAAAATACCCAATATTTTATAAAGCCGATGATTAAATATGTATCAGCATACAGTAATGTTTAGTGTTTTTACCTAACGCTGAAACCAAGAACATTCTTCCACCACTGCAAAAGATTTCTTTTTACAACTACCTGGTAAAGTTAGTCGAAGTTCAGTTTTCAGTTTATTTCTTTCATAAAGCACTTTAAAAGCAAACTCGCAAAGACAGACATATGTGTATACATATATGTGCATGTATGAAATATGACATATATGAAAATGAAGATAAAAATTGGATACTGACACAACTTAGGACCCAGGGAATCAGATATGAAAAAAAGGGCTGCACATTAATCAAAATATCCAAATCGCAGAACTGCAATTTATTGATAAAGGAGAAATGTGTGACAAAGCAGCATTATAATGTAGGATTGTAGTGCTGCAAAGATGCCCTGCTCTACGAATCTTAATCTCCAGATTTAAAAAAAAGTTTGATTCATACAGATCCTAAAAAGTGTCACATAATCATGATTTTAATATTTCTTTCCTGTGAAAATGAATTCATTGGAATTCATGGTCCTTACTGAATCATATCTCAATTGCAATATCTGTCAAATATATGAGTCTTTTTTTTTTACCATATCGCGCCACTCTACATAAAAATAAAAACAGAATTGAAAGCAAGAGAATAAAAGTGGGTCCTGAGCTGCTCCTTAGAAGAATAAACAGACTCATCTTATCTATTCCAGCATCGAGAAGCCGCTACAGAAAAAAAAAAAAAACCCTGTCCCTGACTTTCTTTTACCCTACAAACTGGGCACAGTGTCACAGTGGGAGGATCTGAGGGGTCTGGGGGTGCTGTGAGGGCTGAGAAGCTCTGAGATCCAGAAGCTAAAGACCCAGACCTTTTCTTAAGGGATGAGTGAAGACCAAACCAGAGCTAAATCTACTGAGAGGCCATACACGGCTGCAGGGTTGCATCATGTCCTCTGGATGTGTAAGTAAGCTATTATCTTCTAACATATTAGATATAATAAAGTGTTCAACAGTGATAGCGTGACATCATTCTGTCTTGTTAGCTAATTGTTAAATTACTCAGGAGCCAGACATGAGCTAACTTCTATTCTCTGACAGTCCAATATGGCCTGTGTAAAATGTACTGTTGGGGTTAGGGTAAACATAAAGTATGTGTTGTTATTTCTCTGGATAACTCAGGTAGCTAACAGGAACAAATTCTTCTGTAGTATTTGCAGAAAGTGAAAACATGGAGGGGTTTGAAGAATGTACTGTGCTGATCTAGTTGTAGTTCCTTACTGCTGCCACTGGAGTGTGGTAAAGAGTCATATTTGACTAGTAGATGCTAGATATTTACAATATAAAAAAAACAGGTTGTGTTTATGTACACTCCTGTCTTTTTCTCGTGTGTTTTTGTCCTGTTTTTTTTGTTAGTCAGATTATTATTGTAGTGGTTATATCCTCTATTATCATCCCATATTCCTGCAGCACCACCATCAACACAGATGGAATAAAGCTGCTCCACTGTTCTGTGACCAGGACAGAAGCCACATTGCTCATTTTGAATCTTGAGTCGTCCATCAGCTGGTATCTTTTCTAGGGATGACATGTGATAGACCAATAATTGCAGCACACCCTCATCATGCATATTAATAATGTGACAAGGAAGGAAGTCAGGCCTGTCTTAACCGCTCGATCAGCTTCATCTCTTACTTACTGTGATGCCCACAGAGGAGAGCTGTCTTTTCAAGAACATATCCTCCTTTACTGTGAGTAGAATTGTTTATTGGGGTGACGATATGATATTTGTTGTTTACATGATTTACCGGCTGATGTGCTTTAATGACTCTGAATCCTCACAGATAGATAAGGGCAGCAGCAAGAGGATGTATTGTCTTCTTTCTCTCTGTGCCACTTACTGTATGTCTACATTTAGCGCTCCTATTCAGAGCAACCTATACTTTATGTATTAATAATTTTATGTTTGATATGATGCAAAACTTTAAAACTTGCAACTTGAAACTGCTGTTTCTTTTAATTTGCACGCTGAAAGTTAAGTTTTGTTATGTTACAGATGACACACAGTAACTTTTAGTCCTCCGAATCTGTTGTAACTTACAGTCTTGTAACCTTTTAAAAAGGCAGTAATGGTTCATTAAGGGGAAATTACAGCCAGAACTGTGTTGGGAATTCATTTGAACAATTACATTTTCAACAGAAAAAGATCACAAACCCTGCCCCCTCACACTTGTGGACTTCAGTGTGATATTTCCATGCACTGAAACAGTACTGGGGCTTTTTGTTATCTATATATCACACCACAGCCATTAGTAGTTGGCCAAGCCTCAGCATTGTTTATCTTTCTGCAGAGTTCACACTGAGTGTAAACAGAGAGGAAAGTAAGAATAGCATGTTGATTATCTTGTACAGTGTTGCATTAAGGTTCACAGATATACTGCTGTTCTGTCACAACAACAGGATCATAACAGACCAACCGGGGGGAGTTTTACTGACTGAACTTACTGCACCGTCTCTCCAACATATCGCCATCTGGTGGAGCCTGAAACCCACTGTACTATACTTTGTTAATAATTATCAGATGTAAGTATACAGCTGTCTTCCTCAGTGTAGACTTATACAGAAGTAACCAGAAGAGAGGACAAAACTCAGTGACACAAAAATTACCATTAATAAACAAAAAGAGCTATAACCTAACAAACATTTTTAAGCTAATACTTAATTACAAGTAAAAGCAGACAAAAATATGACTTTGTTGCAACCCTTGCTAGCATCCCACAATACTAACCCCTCATTCTTACATAATCAACATAAAGATCATTATCACCATCAGTCACTACTATTAGTGTAGTTGTTGCTACTGTTGTTGCTGTGCACCTTTGTCGCAAAGTGCTTGCTCATGGTGGGAACTGTTGGGTCTCTGTAAATCATTTTATAAGGAGTACAGTCTAGACCTGCTCTATTTTGAAAAGTGTCCTGAGATAACTTCTGTTATAAATTGTACAATTATAAAAATAAAATTGAGTTGAATTGAATTGAAATTGACAGATCCAGCTATAGTTTGCAAAACTGTTACAGTTATAGTCAGTCAGTTACCGACTGAAAGCATAAAAAATAATGTGAGGGAGGAAATCTGTAAGCAGAATTGTTTATTGATATGATTAGTGTGTCTTGCAGACATTATTGACCTGCTGATGTGTTTTTAATATGAAGTCACACTGACAAAAGAAGAGAAGCTATGAGTTTAAAAGCAGCAGCGAGTGGATTTGTTATCTTCCTTCTCTCTGTGCCAGGTACTGTATATCTATATATTCTTGATTTTTTTTTTTTTGTAGGACTGGTTGTTTTATTGTGGTGTTAGTCATCTGATTGGAATATTTACACACATACAATATCTCTCTGCATCCTTTTACCTGAACATCTAAGTGATGTGCATCATTGCAGAGTACGATTAGTGCTGTTTCAGTTGACTGTATAACTGGAGCTGGTCGTAAGGATTCAGCAACTTAAGAGTTGAGCAACACATGTCTGTATATCCTTTATGAGAGAACAAGATAACATCAATCACAAGCTCATTGACACCAAACTTGCCAATTCATTGTGTTTCTTGCTGACGTCAGTGCAATGTTTCCATTCTTTGTATGGTTAACAGCAATTTGCCTTTCGTCATCTAAATATAACACACAGTAGCAGCCGAGTGTCAATTCATGCTCACACTCTGTGTTCAGTGCTGGAATGTAACACAAGTATGATTTCTCAAGTACAAGTACTGTACTTTGAGTATTTCCATTTTATGCAACTTTATTCACCACTATGTCTCAGAGGCAAATATTCTGGAAAATGCATTGTTACAAAGCCGTGGTCACTTTTTAGAGATACGTGGACAACATGATGATCTTCTTGAGCATTACGCATTACTGTAGATTAAACTACCTACCAGTGTATAAAGTAGTTAAAACTAGCACAGCCTTATACAACTACAGTAGTAAAATGCAATATACTGCACACATTGCACCAATAATACTAGTAGAACACTGAAAGGGACCGTTTTTCTGCATGATAAGTACTTTACCTTTTAAGTAAATAAAATGTTGCTGATAATACTTTCACACATTTACTTGAGTAAGGTTTTTAATGCAGGAGTTGTACTTTTAGTGGAGTATGTTTACAGTATGTAACATTGTGACATACTGGCAGAAATAAAATGTAATATTCACAGGCATGTGTTCATTAGTGTATAATATAATATATAATATATATAATCACTTTTTTTCCCGTTGGAATTAGCTGTTATTATGATCAACAGAGGGAGTTGGTCCTTTTCTACAGAGTCAGCCATGTTTAAGAACAACAGAATTAACCAAATACTTCCCACTGTAGTCTCCCCTACATACTAGATGCAACTAGATGCCACAAAATTCTACACACTGTTTAATTTAAGTCCACCACTGTCTGTGTTCTAGATTTCTTTGAACTTTTCGATCAAACTAAACACAAACCTTACTACTGAGTGGGCAGAGAGGAAACAAAACCAATTTTACACTCCTAATAATAAAAGTTTCTTCCCTGCATGCATGTTTGTTAAAGGTCCAGTGTGTAACATTTAGGAGGATCTATTGGCAGAAATAGAATATAATAATACATGTATGTTTTCAATAATGTAATCACCTGAAAATAGGAATTGTTGTGTTTCTGTTACCTTAGAATGACCTATAGACGGTGCAAAAGGATGCCTGCAGTAGCCCAGAAGGCACAAACCAAACACTGGCTCTAGATAAGGGCATTTGCAAGTTTTGTAGCCACTGTAGTTTCATCTTCGTGCTTGGGGAGGGGAGTGTGAAGCGAGGGAGTTGCGATCTGCAACTCTGACACTAGAGGCCACTATCACACACTGGTCCTTTTTAAAAGCTTATGTCTAGGTCCAATGTGTTCCTCACCACTATGCAAAACTTTATTTTTTACGTCTTCACCGTGGCTTAATGGAGAAATAACATCTTAAAAGTCATAAATGTGATTAATAACACAAGCATATAAGAACAGAAGAAAGTAAGTGACCATAGGAGCAAAAACATTACTTTTCTCCAGTTGTTATCACAGATGTCTTTGTCTTATCAACTTGCAGTGAAAGGTTTAGAACCAAGTAATTTATTTTAAAAAGCCAAGTGAAATCTATTTCCTGCAGATTACCATGTTGAAGAACCTCCACAGATTTGGCTGTCTTTCCTCTTGTGAATTTGACTGATGTGCTCTGTGTTACAGTGGTACAGGGTAAGAATGGCTGGGGAGTGACTTACACCTCTACTGAGATCTGTGCCTTGGAAGGATCAGCAGTGGACATAAGCTGCACCTACAGATACCCATCCAATGAAGCAGTTGTAAAAGAAATGTGGTTTATCAAAAAGCCTCATGATCAACCTATGGATCTGTTAACAGATTCAGACTACACAAGTCGTTTGGACTATAATGACCATGATAACCGCCACACTCTAAGAATCACAGACCTGAGAAAGAATGACTCAGTTATTTATAAGTTTAGATTCGTAACAAACAACGATGCTTATACTGGTTTACCTGGAGTCACTTTGTCTGTCACAGGTAACATTTTCATTTAAACAGTTCATTACAATTGTCATATAGGAAAGACCTTTGTGTGTCTGCTCGCCTGTGTTTACTTTGATGGTATAGTTTTACATTTCTGTTCTTGGCATATCAGACCCAGAACTCCAGGTGCAGGTGGAAAGATCATCAGCTCGGTTGGAGGTGAAGTGTTACAGCAGGTGTTTTGTACCGGATACTGCTTCATATGTCTGGTACATTAATGGGCAGAAAATGGATGAAGAAACCTCTTCTCAAAGGGTCTCTGTTAATGATCACGGCAACTATTCCTGTGCTGTTAAAGGATATGAGGATTACAGCTCTCCTCCAGTGTGTGAGTTTACTCCACAGTGTAACTAACAAGAAATGTAATATGACAAAATCAGGGAAGAAAATGAATGTGAAATGTGAGTGAAACAGCTCATTTGAAAGCAGCAAGCTGTTTAATGAAATGATAGGATTTGCTCATTTCTGACTGTTTACACACTTTTGGTGTCAGACACATTTTCATACTAAAGTTGATTTATGTTCTTATTTCCTCCTCCAGATATTCTAAATCTTCCAACAGTGTTAGTGAGTCCCTCTGGTGAGATAGTGGAGGGGAGTCCGGTGGCTCTCACCTGTAGCAGTGATGCTAACCCAGCACCTACTTATATGTGGTACAAAGAGAATGGAAATCCAGACCTTCATCTTCCCAGTGAAGAACCGCTGCTTTTCTTCAGGTCCATCGAGTCCTCTGACTCTGGAGAGTATTACTGTATGATACAGAACAAGCTGGGGGGGATAAAATCTGAATCCATCTTAATTGATGTGAAATGTGAGTGAAACAGCTCTTTTGAAAAGCAACATTTGGGTGATGACTCTCAGCATTTTAGGCTTGCTTTGTTGCTCATATCTGCTTTCTTCTGTAGTTTTGGTTTTTCATTGATTTGTCCTGCTGTTAAAGGCTTTCAAAGCATCAGTAATTCACAAAACCAGGCTTTGTCATTATTTTATATTCAATTCATATAACTAATTCTCCTTCAGATGTTCCAAAGCTCCCCTCTGTGTCAATGATCCCAACTGGTGTAATAGTGGAAGGACAGTGACCTGTAGGTGGTGAATCAAAAATCTCTATAAAGGAGACTAATTCTTAAAGAACACGAGCATTACTGCGCTTGTTCCTTGTGCGTTTACTCCACTGTGCCACAAGTGTCCAACTTTTGCCCTAGGTTACTATACAGCTTATCACACATAAGATTACATTTTAACTCAAGTTGAAATATGATTTTAATAAGGAACACCAGTCATGTCAAGTCAGTGTGTGAATGAGTGGAACATGTAATGCAAGTAAGAACTAGCAGGTGGAGGCCTGGGTGGAAGAGAATTAAGATACATAGAGAGAGATTACGATTTGGAGTTTATATTGATTTTATTACTGATTTATGCTTCTCCAGATGCTCCAAGGCTTCCCTCTGTGTCAGTGAGTCCCTCTGCTGAGATAATGGAGGGCAGTTCAGTGACTCTGACCTGTAGCAGTGATGCTAACCCAGCAGCTACTTATACCTGGTACAAAAACAACCAAACACTGTTTCAAGGACCAGAAGGTATTCATCATTTCATCTCCATCAGCTCTGAGGACAGAGGGATCTACCACTGCAAGTCTGAGAATCAGTATGGAAAGATCATGTCATCGCCTCTATCAGTAGATGTCCAGTGTAAGTGCAAAACAGCATATGGTTAGTACAGTTATACATACAGGAGTGGTAATTCTTAACTATAAGGGAAAAATCTAATATATATCACACACATCATGTTTCATTTTTTTGTTGGATGTAGTTTGTTTCTGTGCATGGAGAGAGCATCAGTCAATGGTAACTATACCAGTGAGACATTTCATTTTTCCTGCCACAAAAAAACTCTTCTAAAAAGCAATGAGTCATGCAGATAAGTGGTTACAATGTGTGAGATTTGAAGATGTCTTACTGTGATAATATCAAGACTGAACAACAGCAAACATAGACTTTTCTATTTTGTTGTCATCAGAATATTTGGAAAATACTATAAATTCTTATTTCTACACACAGGAGCTATAATCAGATAATTTACAAACCAATGGAACCTATTAATCCTTCATATAATTCACCAAACAGAAGCTCTTACATATTGTGCATTGTAACATTTGATCCTATGTCTTTCCATACCATCCCCAAGATCCTCCGAGGGTTCCCTCTGTGTCAGTGAGTCCCTCTGGTGAGATAGTGGAGGGCAGTACAGTGACTCTGTCCTGTAGCAGTGATGCTAACCCAGCAGCTAATTATACCTGGTACAAGGAGAACCAAACACTGTTTCAAGGACCAGGAGGTATTCATCATTTTACCTCCATCAGCTCTGACGACAGTGGGATCTACCACTGCAAGTCTGAGAATCAATATGGAAAGAAGTCTTCCTCTCTATTCATGAATGTCCAGTGTAAGTCACATGAGTCTATTCTATTATTAATGATACAAAATTCCTTCAAAATCATGAATGGCAAAATTAATGGACTGTGTCTTAATATGTATTGTCCTCCAGATGCTCCAAAACTTCCTTCTGTGTCAATGAGTCCCTTAAATGAAATAATAGAGGGCTTTTCAGTGAATCTGACTTGTAGCAGTGATGCTAATCCAGTAGCTAATTATACCTGGTACAAGGAGAACCAAACACTGTTTCAAGGACCGGAGGGCATTTATAGTTTCACCTCCATCAGCTCTGAGGACAGAGGGATTTACCACTGCAAGTCTGAGAATCAATATGGAGAGAACTCTTCATCCGTCTTTATAGATGTTCAGTGTAAGTAAAAAACATTTGCACATGGTTGGTACATTTAAAGAAGTGGTTAGTAAGTTTAAATCATTTTTTAACTTCCTAAAAATATATAATATATATTTCATTGATATATATTGTTTCTGTAGATGGAGAGATCATCAGTGATGGATAAAGATAGTGAGACATTCAGTTTTTCCAGCCAGAAATTAATACAAATATTGTAGATCATTGGTTGCAGCCCTAATGTGTAAGATTTTAAAAACTGATGTTTAGTGATAGTATAAAAAAAGACAGCAACCACTTTTCTTGTACAAACAAAAACGTATGTGGAACAATACGCATGGAACAAACTAATTATTTTATATAATAATCAAATAGAAACACTTACAGTTGCATTTGATTTTTTGCATTGCATTTGATCAAACTTTATCCATACTAACCTAAGATCCTCCGAGGGTTCCCTCTGTGTCAGTGAGTCCCTCTGGTGAGATAGTGGAGGGCAGTTCAGTGAATCTGACCTGTAGCAGTGATGCTAACCCAGCAGCTAATTATACCTGGTACAAGGAGGATGAAGACTCACCAAAAGCATCAGGACAGATCTTCACCATCACTGACTTCAGACCTGAACACAGTGGGAATTATTACTGTGAAGCCCAGAACAGAAGAGGACGCCATAACTCCACCTTACATCTGATTGTTGTAGCAGGTAAGTTATCATCAAGCGGTCATAAGATTTTGTGAGTGCGCACAAAAATCTGGACAGAATTCCTTTCTAACACCCTAATTAAGTTTTTGTGTTTACTCACTATTTTCTAGGAGCATGGAAATCAATAGTTGCTGTCACAGTTCCTGTTATTTTACTTGCTATTGCATTGATCTCTGTCTTCCTATGGATCATGTAAGCAGTTCTTTTATACCAAATAATTATTCATGAAGCAATTTTAGAAGTGAGTGTAGCATTTTAGTTTAACTTTTAAAATAAATTCTCCTGACCAGAAAGAAGAGGGCCTCCGAGCAACCGCATGGGGCTGGAGAGACATCAGACAGCAGTGAACGGGTAAGGACGTAGACCCATTCTGGCCCGAACGTTTAGTTGAGACTGCTGCGATCTAACTTCCTGCTCAACATTAAAAAAAAAAAAGCATATAAACACTTGGTATTACTTTTTGGTCTCAGACCAGTGGGAAAGTCTGAGGGCATGTGGTGGATGTCTGGAGATTGCTTGAGAAATGCATGGGCCTGGGGGAAGTGAGAAGTAGCTGAAGACAGTCTGTCAGAGGGTCGTATATGTATGTGAAATAAATAATTATCTGTCCAATGTCCACAGATACAACCAGCAGAGCTGCAGGATGATTTTCAATATGCCAGTGTCCGCTTTTGCCAAAACCCAGGAGATCCTATCTACTACAACATCAGACCAGTTCAGCCACAAAGATACAAGGAAGAAGAAGATATGGTCGAGTATGCTGCTGTAACATTTAACAGTGCTAATACAGCCCAGAGGTGAGAAGCTCCTCACACAAGAACATAATCAATTACAGTTGGAAACCATTAATGATGTTTGTATCTTTTACAGTGATACCATATCTTCAGAATCCCTTCATTCAATGTATCTCCCTTCCAGGCCCAGAGGTCATGAAGCTGTGGAGGATCCAGCTGCATTGTACAGTACAGTCAACAAAACCCCCCAAAAATGTGGAAAGAGGAATTTGTAGTCTACTTTCCACCCATGGTAAGATTTTTTCTCCCTCCTAGTCTTTATGAAAGGAAACCACATTGAGTTTTAAAACATATTCTTCAGATCAGGCTTGTCCAAGAATGCAGGTTGACCATACATGTTAAACACAAATTTAAATTTAGGCAGAACATATGACAGTGTTCAATTTTGTATTTGACTTAGCATAGGTCAACCAAAGAATATGTAAAGTGCTCATGAATTATTGCATCAGATTGTGAATGTGACTTGTGTAACATGGCCTTCTCTCTCAGATGTTGACTGGTTTCATCTGCGTGGAGGCAGATGGGAGGAGCTGTTTTTAAAATAGTTAGAACGGTGAAACGTTATCCCTCACCGGCTTCCCACCCACAGACACAGACAGCTGTCAACTCCCACTGTCAGAAATTGAAACCCATGTCCCTGTGGTGGGTGAGAACTTTGACTACCATTAAGTTTTTCACCACCTGTTAACACTCTTGTTGGTTAACATACTGTAATGCATGTCAGTGCAGAATGTCAAGCAAAATGTGTGTATGGTGTGTATATTTTCCTCTGTGAACAATAAGATATATGAGCTGTTCTAATGGCTGGTCAAATGATTTTGGTGGCTCAAGCAGGAGAATGTAAAATTGACTATAGAGTTTCTGACGAGGTTAACATTGCATTATGCAAGAACCCTTTTTTGGCTCAAAAATGTGGAAATTGTTTCTAAAAAATTATCCTGAAAGTGGCGTGCAGGTGGAGCTGTCACCTCCCATCAGATTTCTATATATGAAGCTGTGAATTACTCACAAGTTCGATAAATAAATAAACTGTGACCTGGATGGGCTGGATAATCCTGGAAACTGCAGCTGTTCGGCTGATTGATTTTGGCCAAGGAACCTTAACAAGAAGAGGAAGGAAGAAAGCAGTATTTGGATGGACAGCACAGTAGATATGCCAGCGATTGGCCAATGGTTACATTAGCATATGGACATATTGCTGGTGCCTGGCAGCCTTTCTGCATCTCTTGTCACTTTAACATCACATGCATCCCAACCTTCTGCCTCTGTAAGGCGCAATCAGTTGGGCCATTCCTGGGAGCCTTTGAATGTGAGACATGGTAACTTGCTTTTCTTGATTTTGTGATTAGTGCAGGTGTGGACACTTTCCAGAGAAATAGTTATTTTACATTTAAGAAGGCTGAAATAAAACCCAGTTTCAGGACTTGTCTCTGGAGTACTGTATCAGTTAGCTAACAGTTAAGAAAAACACCAAGCAATCACTGGGAGGTGGAGGAGAATGCCCATTAATCTATGTGTAGTTTCCTTTTCCTGCCACCAAGTTTAATTATCTTAACTGGTATTCACTCAAATATCTGCCAGTATCTTCACACACATTGACTGTCTGAATTTTCTACTGCTGTAAGAATACTGTAACATTGTCTATATGGCTGCTTTCTTTATTCTTATTTCAGATCATATATGGCCCACCTGTTTTTGTTCTACGCCCGTTTGTAAATGTAACATTATGTTTGCATTTGTCCTCTGCTAGTAGTAACAATTTTTCTCTGACTTTGGATGTTTTAGTCATGCTTCGGTCGCAATCTTCTTAAACCTGAAAGGGTATTTGCTGTTTATTGTGGTTTGGTGTGCTTTATAAAGTCTCCTACCTCCCAGTTGTTTTGTACTCTGCGGGGTTAAATAGAGCGGATTTATAAAATATTATTGACAGATGTCGACATCTGGCCTAAATTTTGTTGAAATGACTTGATTTATACCTGTTCACCTTCAACAAGACCCATATTTAGTTGAAATAAGGTATTCATAATCAATACCTCTCAGCAGCTAGGCAGCAACACATTTCAGTTTTCAAAGTGTTAGTTGAATTTATTGTCACAACAGGTTGACAGCCTCTCTGTGAACTAGGTGAACTAAGAAAGGTGACTAGAAAGGGTTTTTCGTTCCCACTCCTGGGCACTACTTTCTAAATGCACCCTTGTGAAATTTTTTAAAAAAGTTCTCTGCAAAATATTTATATATATTTAAATATATATAATATTTTTGTCACAATCCATACATTTATATGAATATGAATAAAAAGTCTATAAAAATCTTAGACTTCTGGCTTTATTTGTAACTTAATTTGTATTCATTTTAGCAACGCAAAGTATTTTTTAAAACTGACATTTATACATAAAAACCTGAGGTCAAGTATGAATTAAGACCATGGAGTATGGCAAATGTATAGAAAATACTCTTTAAGCTAAATTAAACATTACCATGGAATACTTTGCAAAACACTGATGAGTTATACATCAACATTTTCAACAGCCACTGTGTAATCAGAGGAAGAAAAAAATCAAAACGCTTCCCGAAACTGTCAAGCAGTTAGACCAAGGTAGGTGTCTGCCTCGACAGATCAATGCCTTTACATACTGATATTACTTTTAGGCTATATCAGGTTTAGGTAATAACATAGCGAGCCAGTGTTGGTTCCTCAGTTGCATCTGTAATCCAGGAAATCAGATTGTACAGTTTGAGTGGCACAACAGAGTTTGCTTTGTTCACATTTCCCTGACGTGGGTGGCCAAGGGCACGTCATATGGGGAGAGTTAATACCAGTTCTGCTCTATAAAGTGTCCTTGTGTCTGTCTGTAGTATTGATGGAGGCCCCTGAAGTTGGTGTTTGCAGACCAGCTGTTGTACTTTTACAATTTACTTTTGTTGTCCTTTTATTGTCACTTTCAGACTTACACATGTTGCACCTCTTCTTTTTTTTTAGGAAGTTACAATTATTTAGCATGAAGTTAGAGAAAAATCCACATATCACACGACCAAAGTTCCCTTCGATGGAAGGTGAAGAAGAGGTGACATGTTTTTGTCTGTGCTTAAACTGCATTCAGGGACAAAATGATTGTGTGGCCTCCATTGAAGGTATTCTAAGGTATTCTAACAAAAAACACAATTGTGATTATACACTAATGAACACATACCTATAAATATCTTATTCCATTTCTGTTAATAGATCCTCCTAAATGTTACACACTGGACCTTTTTAAAATAGAGGAACTGCATTTGTTTAATCTAGTTCTACCTCAGTCTAGAAACCCAACAGGTTCATCACTTTAACGCAGACTGAGTGCATGAGGGGCCACGATTGGTAAGTTCACTTTTAGAGCACAAACCCATAAAAAAGTGTAAAGTGTAGTGACTACAGAGGAAAGTTATCAAGAAGATTTGTTTATTAATGTGACTGGTTTATGTCTTGTGCATAATATTCAATGGTTGATGTTTTATTGTCTCTGAGGTCAGACCGAGAGGAAAGAGGAGCAACTATGGGTTTAACAGCAACAGTCACTGGATTTGTCGTGTTCCTTCTCTCTGTGCCAGGTACTGTGAATCTACATTTACATTTTAGGTAATTTAGCACACTTATTTGAAGCACCTTCTTGTGAGTGTAAGAAAAAAAATCTTCAATCGTCTTTAAAAGTCTTCAGAGTTTTGTAGACAAACTTTTTTACACTTTAAGACAGTAAGAGTAGCATGGGTGAAAGAGAAGATTCTGAGATGCACTGCAATCTTCTGGATAATCCACTTAGTATCATAATCTGATGTATTAAAAACAAAGAAAATTTCTTCCTCTTGTCGAATATTTATTTATTGAATGAATATTTGTTGGAAAATATACCTGCCTCTTTGTGAGGTGGCGTCACAAAATTTTAAGCCCGAAAGGAAAGTGTTGTAGACCTGGAACTTTGTGTCCTGGTTCATTTGAAGGGCTGAACAATTCTTACATTCATATGTTTATCTGCACTAGTTCAGTCTCCAGTAATGTGCCCTTTTATTATTTGCATATTAACTATGCACACAGCTCACTGTTCTGCATTTCTCTGCAGTTCCCTCCTACACTCAGAAATGGCTTTACTTGCCTTTACGTCCACCGTAGCTTCTCACTTCAAAGTCCAAGCTGTATTCAAATGCTGGTAATTTGCAGCTTTTAGATGCCACTAAATCCTACACACTGTCCTTTAAACAAAAGCAGCTGCCCCTGCATGTAGCGGGGACTGCACTGATTCTACGCATCAAAGTCTGTTTACAAGTATTGGGAAGTAGCCTACTACTGCATATGTTAAATGACTGGTATAAACACTTTTGTGGATCTACAAAGGAGCTGTTTAAGGTCTGATACACTGAGTCAGCCTAAAGACAAAAACATCTGGAGTTGTGTGGATTTAGAAAGAAGTGAGTTTACCAAACCTCTGGAGTGTCCACATATAGAATATTGGGCGTCAACAGTTATCCAATAAAAGGTTCTAGCCAGACATGTAGATACTAAACCTGAACTTCACATCTCACAAGCATACACAAGTTAGTTTGAACTAATAGACATGCATGTTGGCTGGAGTTGCTCTACTGCTCCCCCCATCACGTTAACATGATGAAGCACTTTTCCACAAAATATTGTACTCTGTCCTCAGTTGTAATGTATCTGATTGTGCTTTCTGATGTGCTCTGTGTTACAGTGGTTCAGGGTCTGAGTGACTTGGGAGTGACATACGCCTATACTCAGATCTGTAAATTAAAAGGATCAACAGTGGTCATGCCCTGCACCTACAGATACCCATCCAGTAAAGATGGCATTAATATTATAGTTGTTGAGCAATTCTGGTATATTCAAGCGTACAAGGGTCTGAAAACAGACTCAGATTATGCAGGCCGTACAGAGTATATCTTTCATGAGAAAAACTGCACTCTGAGAATCACAGACCTGAGACAGAGCGACTCCGCCACGTACTACTTCAGGTTCATAACAAACAAACCAGGTATGAAATGGACTGGTCAACCTGGAGTCCAACTGTCTGTCACAGGTAACATGAAGATGAATTATTTTTTCTTTTTTCAAATGTTGTACATGATAGAGGCTAAGGTGTGTGACAGCCCAGTCTGTTTACCTGGTACAACTTTGACTGCTGGAAGTACTGATAACTTAAAATGACATACAGCAAACAGCAATGTTGATTTTAGCAGGTATAATGTTCACCATGTTCACCATCTTAGTTTGGTAGCACGCTTAACATGTGCCAAATAGCAAGAAACACAAGGTAAAGCTCGGGCTGATGGGGATGTCATCAATTTTGCGGGTTCTTTGGAATAAACAAAACATATTGGAGACATTTTTGGCTTGAGTATGGTGCTAAAAGTGGTTATAATTTATACTGGGGGAGACATGAATGTGCCATATTTCATGGAATTTAATTTATAGTGAGATATTTCACTTTATTATTATTTCATAGTGTCACTAGATGAAAGTCAGATATGAAATTGATTGTGATATTATATTTTAGGCACTGTGATAATCCAACCAAAAGTTCATATAATATATATAATATTTTTTGGATAGTCCCAGTGCTTTACTGTTACAATTGCTTTGATGTGTGTTACTAGTTACTTTACATTCTTCCTCACATATCCAGCCATCCAGATGAAGGTGACCAGAATAACAGTCAACAGTCAGTCTTACACGGAGGCAGAGCTCAACTGTAACAGTAGCTGCAGTCCAGATAATCCTCTTTCTTACGTCTGGCTCAAGAATGGACAGAATGTTCTGCAAGGAAGTTCCTCTTATACAGGCCGCTTTTCTCCTGGAGACAACATCTCCTGTGCTTTGACAGGACACGAGGGTTACCCCTCTCCTTCATTGTGTGAGTATCGATGTGTCGTATCACAAACAAAATGTCAAACTTTTCATTTATTCAACTTTTATGCAAACTATTGGGCATGTAAATATAAACTATAAATTCTCATCTTTTAAACTTTTTTTTTTTTTCTCCAGATGCTCTCAAGGTTCCCTCTGTGTCAGTGAGTCCCTCTGGTGAGATAGTGGAGGGCAGTTCAGTGAATCTGACCTGTAGCAGTGAGGCCAACATTGTAGCTAATTACACCTGGTACAAGAAGAATCCTCTTCCAAATAATGAACTTCTCAATATAGAACCACAGCTTGTCTTCAGGTCCATCCAGTCCTCTGACTCTGGAGAGTATTACTGTACAGCTGAGAACGAGCTGGGGAGGAGAACATCTGAATACGTCTCTATTAATGTGAAATGTGAGTGAAACAGTTTATTTAAAAAATGCTTGATTTTGTCAGTTTGTCAAGCAGTATGTTGTGCAGTTCTCATTAGCTGTAATAGATGTTTAAGGGGCAGTTGAAGGTCACTATTGGCACCCAGACTCAAATATACTGTATGTGACACTAAAGCCACACGTCCTCCTTTTACTGTACAGTTAATTTATATTATCACATCTCCTCCAGATGCTCCAAAGACCTCCTCTATGTCAGTGAGTCCCTCTGGTGAGGTAGTGGAGGGCAGTTCAGTGAATCTGACCTGTAGCAGTGATGCTAACCCAGCAGCTAATTATACCTGGTACAAGGAGAACCAAACACTGTCTAACGGACCGGAAGGCACATATAATTTCACCTCCATCAGCTCTGAGGACAGAGGGATCTACCACTGCAAGTCTGAGAATCAATATGGACAGATCAACTCTTCATCTCTATTTTTAGATGTCCAGTGTAAGTAGTATAGTGTAAACCCAATGTTTAAGTCAATAAGGTACTTTTTGTGAACATAATCTGTCACTCCTCCAATTTAATATTTATACATTTCAGGATGATGCAAATTATTGGAAATGTTAAGGCAGAAGAAAATCTAATCAAACGTGTTTACTCAAGTTGATCCTGTCGTTATATCTCGACAGTATGAATTTGATGCATTCAGCGAGACAAAACATCATCAAACATAAAGTAAAGTAAAAAGTCATGTGGTTCTTTGGCTATCTGTCTTTTCAACAAAGCTATGTAATAAGCAAATACATTGTATTTCTCATGACACATTGTGTGTGCAAATATTAATGTAATGCATCTTTCTACAAATTCTCCACCAGATCCTCCGAGGGTTCCCTCTGTGTCAGTGAGTCCCTCTGGTGAGATAGTGGAGGGCAGTTCAGTGACTCTGACCTGTAGCAGTAATGCTAACCCAGCAGCTAATTATAACTGGTACAAGGAGAATGAAGACTCAATAAAAGCATCAGGACAGATCTTCACCATCACTGACTTCAGACCTGAACACAGTGGGAATTATTACTGTGAAGCCCAGAACAGAAGAGGACGCCATAACTCCACCTTACATCTGATTGTTGTAGCAGGTAATTCATTCCATTGCATTGATGCTATATCTGCTCAGCCTCAACCGACAGACATACGCAGTAATACTCTGTAACTCTAACTGAACTGTAAACAGATTTTGATGTGTAAAATGTAAATATGCATTTAGTTATAAGAATATTATTGAAGTACTCCTACCTTCTCTTGAAGTTCTCTCTTATAATTTGAGTCTGTGACACCCCAATTAACTGTCAGTGTTTTCATGTGATTCCCATTTCCCAGGAGTGTGGACATTAATAGAAGTTGGAACAATCACTGCTATTTTAACTGTTATCATACTCTTCTTTGTCTTACTATGGATTAGGTGAGCAGTAAAATCATTCTTTATTGAAACACTGAAAATGTAACAATTCATCAGTCATTTCAAGCAGTTAATTCTACAGTTAATTTATTTGTCCATTAGTTTTTTTGCATTCATTTCCCCATCCAGGAAAAAGATGGCCCCTAAGCGACCGTCAGAGCCTATAGAGAGACCAGATAAGAATGCACAGGTGAGAAAGTACAAAAGATGGTTCCATGTTTCACATAGTATTGGAAAAGTGAACTTGCAATCGTACCCCAAGGACAGATCGTATGTTTACAACAGGTTATAGGTTACTGCATTCATCCCCTCTCTCTCTTTCCCCGCTTTCTTGTCAGTCTTCAACTGTCACTATCAATAATATTAAAAGAAACAAACTGTAATCTCTAGAAACATTAGTCTGTATATGAATGCATGAATCTGAATGCAGCAACAAAGATGTTGTCATCAGAAGTGTTTCTGTTTGTAGTCTGAGTTGTATTGACTGATTACTTTTGAGTGGGCTTTGGTTACCTGGTTTGGTAGCCAATGGGTTTCAAGTTTGCAGTTACTGTGACTTCTGTTTGTCAGAGGATGTTATTTGTCTAATGTCTATAGGAACAACCACCAGAGCATAAAGATAACCTTCACTATGCCAGCATCCGCTTCTGCAAGAGACAAGAAGATCCTCTGTACGCCAATACCCGACCAGCTCATCTCCAAAGACACAGGAGGGAAGAGGATGCAGGCAGTGTGATGTATGCTACTGTCAAATTTACCAATGACAGTCCTGCCCCAAAGTGAGCAGCTCTTCACACAAACATTACAGTTCAACAAGGTGTTTGAGTGTTCTGGCCTTTTCTCCAAAGCTTCTGTTCTTAACTTAGAAGAGAAGATTTAAACTGAGCAGGACTTTATCAGGTGGCTTCAGTAGCTGTATTCTGACCCACAGAATATAACTTTTAATTTACCCGAGTGATGACAACAAGTCTATGGCACAACCGCTTGTGAGAAATGGGTTGAAATAGCGTGCAGGTTGCATATAAACCACAGAACAACCAGATTAATAAATCTTTTTTTTTATCTAAAAATTCAACAGTGATATAGAATATTATGCAAACTGAAAGTTTTGTTTACTCTTTATGTAACCAGAAGTTGTCTTTGTATATTAGGCGTTATAGAATGATTGTCCACACGAAATCAAGCACGTGTTTATTTCTTTACATCTTTACATATCTAATTGCACATTTTTTAAACAGTGTTTAGTTTTATGATTACTGTTGGACTAATTGTGTATCAAATCTTTAAAATCCTTTACAATTCTCCCCCTCCCAAAAACAGAAGTCAGGAAACTGGAGCAGATCCAGCGGCATCGAACAGCGCAGAAAACCATGAAAACCAGAATGTCTAATCTACTGTTCATACATGGTAATTATTAGTCTTTTATCTTTATGAAAACAGGTAACTACACAGAATATTTATTTCTCAGAACAGACACACAAACTTAAATTAGGATTTTGAATAAAACATTCAACAGCGTTTTTCACCCAGCACAGATAAGCTTTAACAAACAGTTAAAGTATTTATTTATGACTTTACCTGAGCACATATTATATTTATATTATGTATGATGTTTCTGTGGACACCTGAGAAACGTTATTCCAGTGTTCACAGGCTTGTTAGTTCTCATTTAGCCTTCATCAACTCCTCTTACCTTACCTGTGTCCTTGCAGGCGCTCTTCCAGCAGATATTGGTGCAGTGCGACATCAACAACAGTGTTTGCTCAAGCCACAGATACGACTGTCTGGAGCTGAAGCCTGGGTCTGCAGATAGTTTCCACCCACTCAGTCTCATGTAATATGGTGTGGGTACATGACACTGTAATTTTTATAAATTTTTATAACATGCAGCCTCAAATGTATCATCATGTACAGAAATCCCAATGTGGAACTTGCTATTTATGGACAAACTTTAGATCTAGATGTAGTCTCATACAGCTTCAAGAGCAATATTTTAGTGATAGCAAATCAACATCTTGTAAAGTACATTCATCTCTTGTTGTGCAATATGTTATGTTTTTTTTTTTTTTGCCATTTTAAAGAAAACTGTTTAATGAAGACAGTTTGGTTTCTTGTCAATCAGGTGTAGATACTGTAGATACTTTCTGAATTGTAATCTCCATGGCATTACCACCTCAACTTATTATCAATTCTCAATTTTGCTACCTTACATATACATACATATTAGTGTTTCCTTTTATATATATTCTTTCTGTGTTGTTTTTTTTTCTTAAAAAAAGAAAACTATATTAATAGTCAAAAGAATAAAATTAGATTTTTTTCAAAAACATATATTGGGTCTATTCTCCAGTCAGTGTCCTTGAGCCGTGTTCAGTTTATTGTGATCTGCAACCTCACTGCTAGACACCACTAAATCCTACTCACTGGTTCTTTAAAACACATTCAGTTTTGTTTCTCTGTTGCATGTCTGTGTTGTTAGTTCATGTTTCACATTTAGGTTACATTATTATACATCTCTCTGCATCCTTTTACCTGAACATTAAAGTCGAGTGTGTCATTGCACAGTAAGAGTAGGGCTGTTTCAGTGAGTAACTGGAGCTGTTCATGGTGAAAGATTCAGCAGCTTGAGAGATAAGCTACAAATGTCTGTACATCCTTTATGAGAGAACAAGACAACATTTACCAAGAACACAAAAAGAGGAACCACACCTTGCTAGTTCATTGTGTTGCTTGCTGACGTCAGTGCGATGTTTCTGTTCTCTGTATTAACAGTACGCTTTCTTTCATTACCTAAATATAGAATACAACTGCAGGTTGGTCCCTCCATGTATGCATTCCTCTCCTGTATGAAATGGCTGTATCCTCACTGTCCTGCGTTATGAATGATTATTGGCCGCATCTATGCACTACCCCACTCCCTCTTCCTCTAATTGTAATTTCTCATCATACATTTGTTCAGTGTTCTTGTCTGTGTAGTTTCTGTCGCTGTTTCCACATACAGTATGTTGGTGTTCAGTTTTGCTGACTGTTGTAGTGTTAAACGTTCCCATATTAGTGTGTCCCCTGGCTCCCTAATTGCTGCATTATACAGCACAGTCAACAAAACCTGAAAAACAGGCATTGCATTTGTAATGGTTCTCTATAGAATTTGTATTCATGCAGGTTACTATTGCTTTTTAACCAGTTAGGAGCTATTTTTAGCCTTAATGAATACTTTTAGTTCAGAAGGAGTAGTTAAAGTGATATCCAACATGTGTGTGATGAAAGAGTCTCTGTCAATTGCAATGATTGAAAGTACAACTGCAAGTGATAAACAAAGTTAAAAGCTGCATTGATACACTGCACAGTAAAAAAAAAGTAAGGCTGAGGCTGCTCCACAGTGTCTGTAAGTAAGTGTGGAAGTGGAAGAGAGACCACAGCTTAAAGGTTTCTAACCACAGCTGCAGTCCTGCTCTCACCATGCCAAAAACACTTCAGGGTTTGCATTACTTTACTCTTTTTTAAACTGATCAGAACATTTATTTGAACCCACAGTGTGGAGGCTTTTACTGCATGAGAGGTGTGAAGTGATGCATCCAACTGTCTGTCACATTTGTGTCATCTCTGTCCCGGTTTAATTGACCACTGACAGACCCTAAATTGTGACCACGCTTTAAAAAGCTCTTTCTTTTTATAGTCTTTTTGGTAGATTATAGATTTATATTAAGATGTTCATAGTTTCTTGTTTTAAGTTACATCTTCTGGTGTTTTGTTCATTATGCATGTAAAGAGGAAGAAGTTGGGTTTATTTTTAACAACTTCTGTCTACTGCTTTCAGACTGAAAGATCAAGACAGTTTCCTTTCACATTAGGTAGACGTGCTTTGGATATGACTGATTTACTTCTGCAGACTTGTTTCACTGACTGTGAAGTCACACAGAGAGATGAAAGGAGCAGCTATGAGTTTTACTGCAACATCAAGTGGATTTGTCATCCTTCTCCTCACTGTACCAGGTACTGTATTTCTACATTCTCAGACCACCTTATTTCTAGATTTGATCTGAAAAGTGATGCAGTTTGATATATTAACCATTGCAATGCAGTATTTATTATGTGATGAATTATTGTGGGGTTGAAATCTAGGGGACAAAGACTCATGCATGGACCTGCTGGAAGCTGTTTCAGGACTGGAGAATCAGTGCTAGAACCAGGATTTGAAGTTAAGCTCACAGGGGCTAAGAGCCGGCCCTGGGCATGGAGAACATGCTGTAGGCATCTTGTTTAAAAAAACAACAAATGCTTCCATATAACAGTGATAAATATTCATGTAGTTACAGAGATGAGTATGTGTTTGTGACAGTGATTGCAGTCAATTAGATTTTGAGGTATTTAAAGTCAAGATACCTTTCCCCAAAACACCTGCACTGCTTCAGTTGTCCAACCTTGTGCCATAGACAGCTAACAGGTTTTCATTCCCACTAATGACTTTGGCAGGTGATAACTCCTCTGTAAGTCTTTATAATGAGATTAAATCGTGCAACAGTTGACTCTCCGTGGCAAATAGTTTGACACTAATGACAATTGTTTTATAAATGTAATTCTACAAAAATGAAGGAAAAACAAGTCTGTTCTCTGATGAGGTTATGAAGCTTATGAGCTTTTGTATCACCAGTCATATTTGTACGTAGGATGGTTTGAAAACCAGTGCAATAAATCCTATTGGTTATATGATCAACTTTGTCTTATCAACTGAAGTTATTAATTATGATTGTGCTCCTAATGTGCTCTGTGTTACAGTGGTACAGGGTCAGAATGGCTGGGGAGTGACTTACACCTCTACTCAGATCTGTGCCTTAAAAGGATCAACAGTGGACATAAGCTGCACCTACAGACACCCATCCAGGATAAATGGCCATGATACTGAAGTTGAGGAAAAAATGTGGTTTACGAGAGCAAGAAATAATGACTATGTGGATATAAGATCAGACCCAGAGTATTTAGGTCGTGTGCAATATATCCGTGGTAACAATGACTGCACTCTGAGAATCACAGACCTGAGAGAGAGCGACTCAGCTGAGTACAAGTTCAGATTCATAACAAACCAACATGATGGAAAATATACTGGTTCACCTGGAGTCACTTTGTCTGTCACAGGTAACATTTTCATCTGAATATTGATTGATTTAATTCCAAGTGTTCAACATCTTATGAAGGTTACTTGTGTCTCTCTCTCTGTGTGTGTGTGTGTGTATGTTGACAGTTCAGTCTAAAATGAAGACTTCTGTTCCTTATTCACATATTCAGATCTCCAGGTGCAGGTGAGCAGATTATTGGTCTACGAGTCTAATAACTGGGCAGATCTCAAGTGTCACAGCAGTTGTCGTCTACCTGATCGTCTTCACTACGTCTGGTACAAGAATGGACAGAAGATGGAGAGAAGAACATCTTCATATTCAGTCTCTGTTTATCCTGCAGACAGCTTTGCATGTGCTGTACAGGGACACGAGAACTCCCGCTCTCGTCCAGTGTGTGAGTTTACTCCAAGTTCCTTTACTAACATAATGCCATCTGGTGGAGCATTTTAGCAAGTGTACTGTACCCTGTGTCTTCTGATGTTATGAATCTGTGGTTTCTGCTCCACACACATAGGAAAAAAAGGAAGGCAGAGAATCTTTATGACCGCAGCCAGTTTGTTTAAAGAATAAAAAAAAGGACATACAACTAAAATGATTCCATGACACTTGGCAGCTGTTACAACCTAGCTCTCTTTTTTATAATCCAGGAAAAACACATTGAGAGAAAAGCTAATGCAGAATATGATGTGATCAAAGGCTAGTTTTTGTCTGTCCCACCACTGTATGAAACCACCGTGGCCACCTGGAACAGCTCCAGGATCAGTACTCTGGACATCTGTGATAATCAATGATACTGGACTCCTCCTGGATACATTTTTCTTCTTAGGATACAAACCACTAACAATATTTTTTAGAATAACATTTTCATCTTAAAGTTAATGTATGTTTATATCTCCTCCAGATGCTCCGAGGGTTCCCTCTGTGTCAGTGAGTCCCTCTGGTGAGATAGTGGAGGGCAGTTCAGTGACTCTGACCTGTAGCAGTGATGCTAACCCAGCAGCTACTTATACCTGGTACAAGAAAAAAGAAATTCCAGACCATGGTTATGTCAGTAAAGAACCACAACTTTTCCTCATGTCCATCTGCTCCTCTGACTCTGGAGAGTATTACTGTTCAGCTAAGAACGAGCTGGGTTGGACGAACTCTGAGCAAATCTTTATTGATGTAAAATGTGAGTAAAACACAGATTATAAGCAGTAGAGAGATGAAATCTTATACACTCTTTACTCTTTATTAAAGGAACACTTAAGTACTACTACTACTACTCAACCTGTGAAGACATTTGTATAATGTCTTCTGTAGCTCCATGTCAGGGTTATCTCAGATTGGGCTGAAGCCTGCACCCTACTGGGCTGTAGGGTTTAGTGCACATGAGCTTGGGGGTTTAGTTAGTCTTTACTTTAACAGGATAAGTCTAAGTCTTTTAACCTGCTTCCATTTCACAGTCTGCAGCTATAGTTCACTGTGCAGCAAGTATTTAAAACAATATGAGCCTCTATAGTAATGCATCAATGCATAATGTATCAATTGATGATAATCTATGTTCATGTATACAGATGCTCCGAGGGTTCCCTCTGTGTCAGTGAGTCCCTCTGGTGAGATAGTGGAGGGCAGTTCAGTGACTCTGACCTGTAGCAGTGATGCTAACCCAGCAGCTACTTATACCTGGTTCAGGGATAGCCAAAGGCTGCTTCAGGGACCAGAAAGTTATCAATTTACCTCCATTAGCACCAATAACAACGGGATCTACTACTGCAAGTCTGAGAACCAATATGGACGGATCACCTCATCACCTCTATTAATAGATGTTCAGTGTAAGTCCTTTCAAATCATGCATGCTAATATTAATGGAATATGTCTCCACACATATTGTTTAAAAACATATGCTCTAAAATGCTTTGGGTTAGGGTCACCTCAAGACCACTCGATCTCTTCTTGTGAACATATCTCCACCAGATCCATGCCAATAGTGTTCATCAAACATATTTTCTTTATTACAGTAACAGAATACATATAAAGTATATTTAGTCGGGTCAAGTATTTTTCCAAGAAATATCCTTCCTGTCCTTATTGGTGAGTTTAAAACATGCCAAAATATTCACAGGGTGATTTACAAAACAATATTTGACTTACCAAAACTTCTAGCAAACCCAGTGAGTGCTGCTTAACGCACCACTTAAAGGTCAAGTGTGTAATTATTAGCAGAAATGGAATCTAATATTCATAGGTATGTTTTCATTAGTGTATAATCACCTGGAAATAAGAACCATTGTGTTTTTCTCACCTTAGAATGAGCTGTATTTATCTACAGAGGCAGCAGGTCCTCTAAAACACAGTGGGGGCCATGTTGAATGGACAAACCAAACACTGGCTTTAGATAGGGCCTTTTGTGAGTTTCACTGCCACTGTAGTTTCTCCTAATGACTTAGGAGGTGAACGATATTCAGTTGGTTATCTGCAACTTCACTGCTAGATACTACTAAATCCTACACACTGGTCCTTTAGAAGTAATTAGGACACAAGGCAGTCCATTGCCTAGTTTTCCTATGTATGAAAATAACCCTGCAAATACATATCGATTGTCTCTCTTTACATGTTGTCTTCCAGATGGTCCAAAGACCTCCTCTGTGTCAGTGAGTCCCTCTGGTGAGATAGTGGAGGGCAGTTCAGTGACTCTGACCTGTAGCAGTGATGCTAACCCAGCAGCTACTTATACCTGGTTCGGGGATAACCAAAAGCTGCTTCAGGGACCAGAAGGAAGTTATCATTTTACCTCCATTAAGTCCAATAACAGCGGGATCTACTACTGCAAGTCTGAGAATCAATATGGACATATAAACTCTTCATATCTGTTCATAAATGTTCAGTGTAAGTTGAATTTATACATATATTCACAGAAGTCTTTTCAAACCATGCATGCTATTATTATCCAAGCAACATCCCTTTTTATTCTTACTGTTAAGTTTAAAACAAGCAAAACTATTCACTGAATGCTTTGGATGATTTACAAGACAATGTTTGCCTTCCTAAACTTCTAGCACAGCTACATGACATTGGGTGGCGCTATAGCACACAACTCAAAAATAATTTCTGCATTAGATAAATTGATTGAATGTTTTTTCCCCTCCCCCTTTGATGCCACTCCTGACAGTTCATTACCATGTTTTCCTATGAAATAGAAATAACCCTCTCTCTGTATATATTGTACTCCAGATGCTCCGAGGGTTCCCTCTGTGTCAGTGAGTCCCTCTGGTGAGATAGTGGAGGGCAGTTCAGTGACTCTGACCTGTAGCAGTGATGCTAACCCAGCAGCTAATTATACCTGGTACAAGGAGAACCAAACACTGTTTCAAGGACCAGAGCACATTTATCGTTTCATCTCCATCAGCTCTGAGGACAGAGGGATCTACCACTGCAAGTCTGAGAATCAATATGGACAGATCAACTCTTCACTTCAGCTTATAGATGTCCAATGTACGTCATATGATTACCAGTTTCACTGAAAATCTTACTGATACGAAAGTCTATCTATGTCAGGGGTCTCAAATGTAAATTAAGGAAAAAAAATATTATACTGTAATATAATAATTTAATTATATAATAATTTGCGGGCCAGAAGGAGGAGGATGGAGGGCCAGCAGTTTGAGATCCCTGGTCAACATCATGCCTGCTAATATAAATGAAATATCTCTTTATATCGTCCTCCAGATGGTCCAAAGCTTCCCTCTGTGTCAGTGAGTCCCTCTGGTGAGATAGTGGAGGGCAGTTCAGTGACTCTGACCTGTAGCAGTGATGCTAACCCAGCAGCTACTTATACCTGGTACAAGGAGAACCAAACACTGTTTCAAGGACCAGAGCACATTTATCGTTTCATCTCCATCAGCTCTGAGGACAGAGGGATTTACCACTGCAAGTCTGAGAATCAATATGGACAGATCAACTCTTCACTTCAGCTTATAGATGTCCAATGTACGTCATATGATTATCAGTTTCACTGAAAATCTTACTGATACGAAAGTCTATCTATGTCAGGGGACTCAAACTCAAATTGGCTTGAAGCCACTGCTGATATTGTCATCTCACAGGAGGGCCACTTCAACATTCAAGTACAACAAGAAAGTGCAATATTCTGAAAATATTTCTATGACTAACATCACACTTTACAAAAAAAATGCAAACTGTAGTTTTAAATCATCATTTTTGTTGTTCACAGCCAAACAACAAATGGAAACCTGCTCTCTTCTTATCAGACCTTTGTCTGCCGTTGCAAGCACCTTTGCCATTATTGTGCGCCAAAAGACTTATTGAACTTTTTAAAAATAGAATTGTGTTTTTATTTTAATTGTAAATGAAGGAAAAATAATAGTATACTATAATATAATAATTTAATCATATAATAATTTGCGAGCAAGAAGGAGGGGGATGGAGGGCCGGCAGTTTAAGATCCCTGGTCAACATCATGCCTGCTAATATAAATGAAATATCTCTTTATATCGTCCTCCAGATGGTCCAAGGGTTCCCTCTGTGTCAGTGAGTCCCTCTGGTGAGATAGTGGAGGGCAGTTCAGTGAATCTGACCTGTAGCAGTGATGCTAACCCAGCAGCTACTTATACCTGGTACAAGGAGGATGAAGACTCACCAAAAGCATCAGGACAGATCTTCACCATCACTGACTTCAGACCTGAACACAGTGGGAATTATTACTGTGAAGCCCAGAACAGAAGAGGACGCCATAACTCCACCTTACATCTGAATATTTTAACAGGTATATTTTTCATTTAACTTGTACAAATCAGATCACTATCCTCCCTCAGTACTGAAAGTATCAGATCAGCCAAGTCTGCCAGACAGCTCTGTGCTGTCTGAGGCTGCGAGGGACCGGCTGGCCAATGCCACGGTCCAGCACCATACAGTAACTACTGACATTAGAAATTGAAAAATAAAAACTCTATGACTACTGACTTTACAATGTCTGCTTCAGTTTTATTTGTTAGGGGGGCATAATTGCATGTGCAAATAAAATTATTTTGTTATATCAACCTATGGGGCCAAATATTTAAAACCCCCTTGAATTAAGTCTGCTGTTTTATTACAGTTTTCCCAGGATTATGGAAATTAGCCGTCATTGGACCAACTCCTGCTATTTTCCTCGGTATCATATGGCTCACTATCTTTGTACTGATTAAGTGAGTAAATACGTTTTACTAAAGCATTGTACGTGAAATACCTGAAAATCTGTCTTATTTGTCGTCAGTTTTGTAATTCCTTTGTTTTGAATTAATTCTCCCAACCAGAAAAAAGAGAGCATCCAAGAAATCATTTGATCCTGGAGATAGACCAGACAGCAGGGAACAGGTGGGTTAAAGATTAAACAAATTTCTCTGCAACTTTAAAACTCTCCTCACTGAGAAGGACTGAATGTCACTCTTATGCCACCCTCCAGAAGTTAGTCTAGTTCTTGCTTATATGAACTCTCTTTTTCCTCCTGTTGTCTTGAATGTAATTAAACAGGGTGTCCACCAGAGTTTACCATTTTACTCTAAAATATTGCTGTGATACTTGTTTAATTGCCACAGCAGGCCTGTTGCCCAACTGGGTAGCCCCAGTGTTGCTCACTATGCTGGCTGGTTGAGGCCGCTCCGATCCAACCGGGAACTGTGACCTTGGTGTTGGTTCAAGTTAATTTATGCAAACAAAACTAATCCAAAATACTTCAAATGGCTACATAATAGGACTTTTATCCAAAGTGCTTTAAGAGTGAATGAGTGGTTTTTGCCACTCATTCACTTGTACACACACACACTCACGCAATGACGTCAGTGAGCTACAGTGTGCTAGCTACACCATTAGAATCAATTTGGGTTTCAGTGTAATGTGGATCAGAGAAGGTGGGGATTGAACCACTTACTCCCCCTCTACCTCCTGAGCCACAACCACACCGAGACTTAAGCTTGTCATTAATTTTCAGACATGGTCTAAATGAAAAGTTTCTCCTTGCTATGATCTGCAGCTTGCCACTCTTATGTGTCTGTATCGCCAGTCTGCCGTGGCATCTGCCCTCACACAGGCTCATACTACGTAAAACCCTCATTCTTGAAGGCAAATCAATCAGAAATGGAGGGACAAAAAAAAAAAGATACGTAACTAAAATATTATCTATGTCAGACATGCAGTCTGACTGGCACCATGGCTCCCAGTCACACCGCTACTATACATTACTGTTTTGCATCCCATTATAAGATCAAGCTTCTCAACTGGAATTACTAATTTTGTTGGGAAATAATTGCTAAAAACAATAATAAATCTAAGTTTAGTAAATTATTATTCATTATTATCTTTATTTATTATCTTACTTTGAGTGAGTTTTTCAGTTATCCATATTTATTATAAGATTTATTTATATCGGCCTGTATTGGTCGACTTCTACTTTTCCTCTTCCTTCTCAGTATCCATTCAATCAGTCGGAGGAGCAGGATGACCTTCACTATGCCAGCGTCCACTTCTCCAACAACCAGGCAGATCCTGTGTATGCCAACATCAGACCAGCTGGACCCCGCAGACACAAAGAGGAAGAAGAAGAGGTCGTTGAGTACGCTGCTGTCAAATTTAACCGCGCCATTACTGACCCCCGGTGAGCTCTTCTTACGGGAACATTATCCTCACTAAAACATTTCCACAATTTCCTCCAATTTCCAATCTTTTCTTTCCTTTCAGGTCTAGAGTTCCACAAACTGTGGAGGATCCAGCTGCACTGTACAGTACAGTCATCAAAACATAAATACAACAGGAATCTATAGTCTTTTGATTTAGGCTATTCCCTCACTTTCCTCACTCTCCATGTGTCGTTGGAATCGGAAATGTCTCAACTATAGGATGGATGGTCATAAAGTTTGGTATAGACATTCATATCCCGCACAGGATAACTTGACTTTGATGATCCCTGAACTTTTACATTAGCGTAAGCAAATGCTTACACGTTAATATAACATGGTCAATGTAACAGATGTGTTGTGTAAATAGGATTTAAACCATTTTAGGGCAGTGTCCCTGATGCTGACCCACTTTTCAAGGCAATCCAAAAGGAAAGAGTGATCAACAGTGTCAAAAATTTACCTACCACCAGCATAAACTGTAAGTCAAAGGTTGTTTCTTACGTTGATAAGAACATATTTGATGCTATGACAGGCATTGAAACATGCAATCATTGGGGTGGCTTCAGTGTATTGGAATTCTTTCGTTACTTGTTATAAATGTATTTTGCTCTGAGATAAGACGTGCAGTTGAACTAGAATAGCTATGTCTGTGTGACCATAATTCATGCACATGAATGTCAGTGAGTAGGGCCTCGCTCTTCAAGTTCACACAAGTCCTCACACCCCGCCCAGCAACAACTCTGAGACGTCACGTCAGGCACTGAAGAGTACAGTCCTTGCTGCAAGGATTGACAGAATATTCTTTACTAGATACTGAATAGATACTGAATTATACCTGCATTTACAGAAAGGAACACCACAAAACTCTCTCCCATTCTGTCTCATATAGATTACATTATGAAGTTGATATATAGTCTGCAAAATAACAGAATAAGTTCTTTTCTTGGTCATTTACTGTATTCACAATGCATAGTAATAATGTGAAGAGGAAGGAAACCTGGTGTATTTTAACTGCCTGCTTTCTGTGTCCTGCTTAAACCTCCCGACTACAGAGGACGTTATAGTTCAAGACAGTTTCTTTCCGATTGTAGAAGTAGAAGAGACTAATATATCTTGTGTACATTAATCGATTAATTAACATTTTCTTATTTGTTTTATTGTCATTGAAGAAAAGAGATGAGAAGAGCGTTGAACAGCAGCAGTGGGTGTTTTTGTATTGTCCTCCTTCTCTGTCTAATAAATGTCAAAATGGCCTCTTTACAAGTCTGAAGCTCTGTTTTCTGTATCATTACATATTTAGCACTAATGTTTTTACTGTAGTGATCTTGTGGTATAAAAACAATCTCTTCTTAGATGAAACTGAACAGCAGAATCACAAACTGCTGGGGAAAGACGACTCTAGTACTTTGTCAGTACAATATGCCAATCTCAGACTTGTGTACGTTGGGAGTTCAAACTCAGGAATACAAACTCCAGAGGAAGGAAGGACGCAGCAATTTGCAGTTGAGTTCTTTCTGCTCTGCCACTAATTTCAACTTAACTGTACTCTTACTGTAACGTGACAAAATAATCTCAACTCAAAGGTTCATTAACAGACTTTAAGGAGGAAACATACAGCTTTTCTTGGAGCTTTTCACCTAATTGACAGTGTAGCTGAGGGTTCAAAGCTCTGTCTTCAGCTTGTGGCTTTATGAGGCCGTTGAGTGTCTATCAGGACTATTGACATAAAAAATGGATGTCGCGTTTCCACTCCCACTGTACAAAAATCCCATCTTTTGCCAGTTGGAGCCAGAGTATTGATCTGCGTTGGCACCGCGGTATCAGACTCAGTCTTGAGCAGGGCTCAACTGTTGATTGCTTTAAATAACTAATCAAAACTAAAGGTGTCAGAAAAATTAACACTTGAAAATACATCAGTTTGATAAGAACTAATGTCATGTTGTCCCATCTGCTAACATGAAGGCAATGAGCATTATGACGTATACTGTAGTCAGCCACCAGAGGGCAGTAGGGCTGTCACTTTTTCCAAAAATCACGTTTGAACAAATTTTTAATGACACAATTTGTTTGAATGAATTCAAATAAATTATCTATAAACACAAAGTAAAATATATGTATGCTCCGCTCATCTTGGTCCCTTCGCTCCACTGCCTCACTTCAATGGCAGGCTAATGTTAGCAAGTGAGTCTGTAGATTTGTTGATGTAGAGTTTGACAGCTGCTTTGTACACAGTCGACAGAATCACACTGTTTCTCAGATGCTTTGCTCACCAGTGTCCTCGTAAAAAAAACACATATACATATATGGGTCTGTCAGTGCAGTTGAAGTTTTTATATATTTCTCAATTTTTAAAATAAACACTGTAATCAGTCACTTTTTGCATCCCGTACTGAGGCAGACTTTATGTCAGTGGGATGTTGGCAATGAAACAGGTTTGGTACCAACGGGTCATAGCCCTAGTTTCTTACTCATATAAAGTTGGTTGCTTGCAAAACATGACATCGTAATTGTGATGTGGGTGTTTACTGGCATTTGCCTTATCATGTATGTTAATAAAAAGAGGAAGTAAAGCTAGTCTTTTAACAGCCTGACATCCGTCTTCTGCTTCCAGATCACAGAGGAAAGACATGTTTAAAGACGACGTCCTTCTTCAGTGTAAGTAGAACTGTTTATTGATGTGACTGATCCTGTTTACCTCCTTTGTACATTATTATTTTACCTGCTGACATGTTTTATTGTCTCTGAAGCCTCACAGAGAGATGAGAGGAGCAGCTATGAGTTTAAGTGCAGCAGCGAGTGGATTTGTTGTCTTCCTTCTCTCTGTGTCAGGTACTGTATATCTACAGTTACATTCACTGCATTAAAAGAGGGGGATCTGGGAAAATGTGGAAAGAAGTGGATCAAAGTTGTGTGAAAGACTTTTT